TTCGCCGAGTGATAGAGACAGCGCTCTGTGCAGCCGATGACGGCGTCCTGGAGCTGGGCCTTGAGTTGGGCCTCGTCGGCCGGCGATAGAGTTCCCATCGCGTCGCTATCAGGAAGAGATTACTAGTTGCGCACTTCAGATCATGGTTCAGGGCTCTATCGCGTGATGTCGCTGCCGCCGATGCGCGTGTTGATGGGGAGCTTCCTGTCGTGGTAGGGTGGGGCACAAACAATGGCCCGGCGAGCGGTTAAAGGTTGCGCCGCTGCGCCGCGGAAATTAGCCCCTTCACCGCCCGCACCCCTACATCTGCTACTGCCCCTCTATCTTGAACACTGCTCTGCAAAGATACCCAATTCACTGCGTTCAAGATGCCCACCACACTCAAAGAATTCGAGAGCGTATGGCCGCGCATTGTGGCCGACCTGCAGGAGCACTGCAAATCATACAAGCTGCCCCAGCAGTCTCTTGATTGGTTCACCAAGGTAGATATATCCCGAGAACGAATCCAGGGTCCAGCTCGCTCACCATGTCCCATAGTCACTGGACTACAACACTGTCGGCGGAAAATGCAACCGTGGCATGTCTGTCATCGACACCACTTCAATTCTGCAGAACAAGTCTCTTGACCCATCGTCAGAAGAGTACTTCCGTGCTGCCCTGCTCGGATGGATGATCGAACTTCTCCAGGCCTTTTTCCTGGTTTCGGACGATATCATGGACTCTTCAAAGACCCGTCGTGGCAATCCCTGCTGGTACCTTGCACCCAAGGTCGGCATGATCGCCATCAACGACGCCTTTATGCTGGAGTCGGCCATCTACGTGCTTCTCAAGAAGCACTTCCGTCAGGAGAAGAGCTACGTCGACATGATGGAGTTGTTCCACGAGGTCACATTCCAGACCGAATGCGGTCAATTGTGTGATCTGTTGACTGCACCCGAAGACGATGTCAACCTTGACAACTTCAGTCTCGACAAGTTCACTTTCATCGTCATTTACAAGACTGCCTATTACTCTTTCTACCTCCCAGTCGCACTGGCGCTCTACTATGCCGGTGCAGCTACACCAAAGAACCTCCAGACCGCAGAAGACATTCTCATCCCCATGGGCGAATACTTCCAAGCACAAGACGACTACCTCGATGCATTTGCTGACCCCACTGTTCTCGGCAAGATTGGCACCGACATCATGGACAACAAGTGCTCATGGCTGATCAACCAGGCCCTGAAGAAGGTCACTCCCGAGCAACGAAAGGTGCTAGAGGAGAACTACGGTCAGAAGGACTCGCAGAAGGAGGCCAAGGTCAAGGAGCTGTACCATGAGCTTAAGCTGAAGGAGTTCTACGAGCAGTGGGAAGAGGAGCGCGTTACCGAGCTGAGGGCGAAGATCGACAAGGTTGATGAGAGCGAAGGCTTGAAGAAGGTCGTCTTCGAGGTTTTCCTCCAGAAGATCTACAAGAGGAGCAAGTGAGCTGAAGACTAATTATACCATAGGTGGAGAAACACCTCGGGTGTCCACAGAATCTAAACGAACTGTCCGAACTTTCCATGTGGCTCGCAACAAATTGTCGCATCAATCAACTAAAATGCCATTGACACATATAAAGTAAAATACAACAGCTTGTAGTGAACCACCGGCGCAGATGCCATTGGAGGCATGGGTGATGAAGGAGCTTGCACATCCAATGGCATACACGTGGACGAATCGCGCTAGGCGCGGGCCGGCCAAAGTGGAGCGAGCCATCCCACCACCCTGTCGCGAGATCCAGTGACGCCGCGTCGCGTCTGCAACCACGAACCTTTTGTTCCACCACTACTAAAACGACAACACGCATGCCTCTCGTTCTCGCGTACTCACCCGCGCATCTGACGGGTACTAATATCTATGTTTATCTTCGCGCTAAGCGCAATCTGAAGGATGGCGGTACCTGACAATATGGGGGCCAGATTCTGCGACTCAGGCGCCCTGTCAATCAAAGTGGCGTGGTTTACTATGCCCTGTCCCGTGTAACCACCATACTGAAAGTACTCTTTCGTCTTCTGGTCTCTGTTACTTTACTGGGCCAGCATGTTTTCCAACTTTGCCAGTGCAATATCTGGTAATGCTCCAGAGAGAGCAAGCAAAGATGAAGGAGCTTCACTCACGTCGGTCCTCGAGACACCCACCCTACGCGTGGAACTGGCACTCCTCGTCCTCCTGAGCATCGATGCCATGCGAAACGATCTCACGGCCACCTTTGAGCCATACAACAACCCCGAACCGAAACCCTCCGTTGCGACCCGGTCGCCCGCACCCAAGCCTGGAAATCAGGCACCAGATCTCATGAGCTTCGACCAGCCGAGACAAACCACCAAACCAGCGCCTCCCACTAGGCAATCATCACAAGAACATGAGTCCACACAAATGCAGGCTTTGCGACGGAGCGCCTTGACATTCTTCGATAAATGGCGGGCAAGTGTCATGCATCGAATATGCGACGTCCTCTCTGTACGGGGTGAGACTGTCCGGCAGGCGAAAGCAAAGCGGAAGCAAACGCTGGACCAAGCCGACAGGCAAAACCAGGGCATCTCTTCACTCATCGATTTCGACGACCTCGATCCCTTCGCAAACGCGGCTCCCACACGACCCAAGAACACAAGACACGGACACTATGAGGTGATCGAGACTAGACTGCTATCTCTTGAGGAAGATAAGCGTGTGCTGGTTCTACACTGCCTCCTGCTGCTCTTACTGAGCTTGGAGCAATACTCGGCATATTCGCGCATCTTGTTGCTACGTCTGGCAAGCAGTCTCAGACTAGAGGCTGATTTGCTGGGCGAGCATGAGAAGTCGGTTGCACAAGGTCTGCTAGCCACAGCTGCCTCTCAGATGGACGCCGAAGCGACAGCCAAGAACCAAGCGTCAAATGACGCAGTATCTCGCCGTTGGAAGGTTGGTCTCGCGACTGTGGGCGGTGCGGTCCTGATTGGTGTTACTGGCGGTCTTGCTGCGCCTTTACTCGCCGCAGGCCTGGGTACTGTCATGGGCGGACTGGGCCTGGGCGTGGTTTCAACGTATCTTGGTGCGTTGGCGGGCAGCTCGGTGCTTGTTGGATCACTATTTGGAGCCTACGGTGCGAAGATGACGGGGCGTCTAATGGACCAGTATGCGAAAGAGGTTCAAGATTTCGAATTCCTTCCGGTCCAAGGTATGTAAAGCGGAGATGAAGTCTTGCTTGAAGCTAAATGTACCAGATCCCGATCGACCGACGAACCAACGCGAGCTCGATTGGGCTGATGAGCAAGATGCGCGCGACCCACAGAAACGTGAACAGCATCGATTACGCGTATCCATTGGCGTTAGCGGCTGGCTAAGCTCCCCTTCCGACGTCAGCAAGCCTTGGGAGGTGGTCGACTCTGGTACAACTGAGCCATTCGCATTGCGTTTCGAGCTTGATGCAATGCTGCGTCTCGGCAACTCCCTCAACGATGTACTCTTCGGATACGCTTTCGATGGCGTCACATACACTGTCGTCAGTCGTACGCTTCTTGGCGCGCTGTACGCGGGTTTGTGGCCTCTTGGTCTTGTCAAAGCTGCCAGTGTCTTGGACAACCCTTTCCTCGTTGCACTTGCACGAGCCGACAAAGCTGGCAAAGTGCTTGCACATGCTCTTATCGATGGAGTGCAAGGGAAGCGACCTGTCACACTTGCAGGCTACTCAGTGGGTGCACGTGTCGTGTACGCATGTCTGATCGAGCTTGCGGAACAACACGCGTTCGGTCTTGTCGAGTCTGCTGTTCTTATGGGCACTCCTGCCCCTGCCAACAGCAAGCGTTGGAGGCAAATACGGTCAGTTGTTGCGGGACGCGTTGTCAATGTTCACAGTACGGAAGATTACGTACTCGGTTTCCTCTATCGATCTGCCAAGCTTCAGGTAGGTGTTGCTGGTCTACAAAAGATCGAAAATGTCCATGGCGTGGAGAATAGTGATGTAAGCAAGCTTGTCAGTGGCCACGACCAGTATCGGTACTTGGTCGGTACGATACTTGTCAAAGTCGGACTCGGTGATGTGGATTTCAACAAGGTCGCCGAACAAGAACGGGCTCTTGAAGAGGTAGAAAGGCGGAAGAAACAGGCACAAAAGGAAGCTAAACGCAAGGCAACGACTGAGCGAACGAAAGACCCTGTCGCCAGGCCTCAGCCCCGAAGTCGACCGGTTGCTGCGGCTCACGACTCTTCGAACTCTCTGATAGATCTTACAGAGCCAGAGCCGACCAAAGCTCCTGCCCCCAACAGCGATCTGTCTGGTCTTTCCTTCACCTCCACTGGCGTATCCGCGACTGAGCACCCCTCTTCGAACGTCGAATCGTCCACCCCGACTCTGCATAGAACACCGGTGGAAGAACCCAAGAGCTTCCCTGATACCACTACGAGATCGTTCCCAGAACCACACGATCTATCAAGCCCCGAGAACTCGACTGTCCGGCTGCAGAAGAAAGGGACCGAAGTCGCTGTCACCGAGGTTCTTGTCTTGGAAGGTAGTGATGCCGCTAAGGACAAGAGTATTGATAACGAGCATGATGACGAGTTTGACGACTTCGACTATGATGCCGAAGAAGTTAGTAGCGAGTTTGGAGAACTCAGCATGGTAGAGCCGCTGCCTATGGACGACTTCGATTATGGGTTGATGTAAGGGCGCATGGACCAATCACATCTTCCTGATAGCTCGCAAGGCTCACCCAACCTGACTAGTGGCCGCCAGATGGTACGCCTCGATTATGCACGTTCCTTGTATGACGGCTTACATGTAAGGCACCAGCTTGGCTTCCAAAGAACCAAGACACGGTGCTCAAGCCTCGGATGATAAGCCGGATTAGTGAACGCGTTACGCGCGTAACGGTATAAAGTCATATGTCTTCAATCAAGTTAAGGAAAATCGTTCTACATCCCACTTTAAATTGATCAGTAAAAGCGGGCACTGTGACGGAAACACCAACCATCTTGCTGACTTCAACCCATCCATCATGCTATTAGCAAAACATCCTACATCCACATCACCGTCCCCATCCTTCTCTATACTCGGACCGCGGATATCTCTCTGTACCCCACAACCATACACCACTGGCGAACTCATCATCCTATGTACATGGCTCGGCGCCGCCCGAAAGCACATCGACAAATACATCGCCGCCTACCGTACCATCGCACCCAATGCCAAGATCCTACTCATCCAAAGCGACGTAACATCAGTCACGAGCTCCTACCCAGCACAACACAAAGCCATCATACCAGCCGTCGAAGTCGTGCGCTCTGTACTGAGTGACTGCACTTCCACAGCATCTACCAACGTCCCTTCATCCCCAACAGCAAACACCACCAAAACGCACACAACCCCGAAAATCCTCATCCACACCTTCTCAAACGGCGGTCCCATCTCTGCTACCGCCCTCCTCCTCGCTCTCCGTGCCCAGACCTCCACACCCTTGCCCATCACCGGTATCATCATGGACTCTGGACCCGCAGCAGGATACTACTGGAAATCCTACAACGCTATGATTCTCTCTCTCCCACCAGGCCCCATCCGCTCAGCTGGCTACGTTTTCGTCCACGGTATCCTAATCATCTTGCGGGCGAGTGTGGCGTTGGGACGGTACGAACACCCTGAGGTGCTGGTTCGTCGGACACTGTTGGATGAGAAGTTTGTTGCTGGGGTGGAGGAGGGGAAGAAGAGGAGGGTGTGTTACTTGTATAGTAAAACTGATCGGATGACGGACTGGGAGGATGTTGTTGCGCATAAGAAGATGGCGAGGGAGAAGGGGTGGGATGTGGGAGAGGTGGTGTTTGAGGGGACGCCGCATTGTGGGCATTTTGTGGGTAATGAGGGTGTTTATGTTGGGCAGATGGACAAGATGTGGGAGGGTAAGACGTTTGGACAGTAAGAGTTTGTCTGATTTCATGATTGTTTGGAGGGAGAAGTCGCTATACGAAAGATCCGTTGCTGGCTTGGCGCTCATTGTCTTGTTTGTTATGACTCTGGTACTTCGTCGGCCCATGGTATACTCGACTGTGCTCCCGCTTTCTGCACTGTCATTGATGCCGCTCTATTGGCATGCGCAATTGCAGCGTCGAGATCAAAGTCCGCTCCCCTTGACATTGCTTTCCAACGCGCAACGGCAACTGTGTACGCGCCCGCAAACGTGTCGCCTGCGGCCGTTGTGTCGACAACCTTGACTTTTCGTGCCGGCACAACATGACCTTGCTGAGATGTCTCTTGCTGCTTCGCAGTCTTGTAAAACACGCCCTGAACACTCAAGTAAGTACGAGTCCGATTGCACATCGGGGGATTACTTACCTCGCCACCAAGCGTAATAATGACATTCTTAACCCCCCTCGCAATGAACACAGCAGCAACCTCATCCCACGAACTCGGCTTCTCGATCCCCGACAAAATCATCGCTTCCGTCTCATTAACGATGAGGTGACCCAGCCCATGATACGCTTCATCCGGCAGCGGCACCGCAGGCGCAGGATTAATAATAGTCTCAACGCCCTTCTCCCTCGCCGTCTTCATGTTATGCAGCACAACCTGCAACGGCAGTTCCAGCTGGAAAAGCGCAACCCCCGCATCCTCATCCACAAGATCTTGCACCTCAACATCTCCATTTGCTCCAGGGCAAAACATGATCCTGTTTTCTCCGGACCCTGTCTCGACGATGATGACCGCAACGCCCGTCTTTTTCCCCTTGAGAATCTGCACCTTCTCCGTCGACAGTCCATCTTCCCGTAGAGCTTTCAGGAACCCCTCGTGAAACTCGTCGTCACCCACCGCGCCCACCATCCTAACTTCGACATCGGAGTCCTGGGACGAAGAAGCTTGCGCTTTGGTGCGTGAGAGACGCGCACATGCGACGGCTTGGTTTGCGCCTTTTCCTCCCCAGCCAATGTTGAAGGATTCACTGGTTAGCGTTTCGCCGCCGACGGGGACGCGGGCTGTACGGGTTACGAGGTCGACATTTAGGGAGCCGATAACGGATATGACGGCTGGTTTGGAAGACATTTTCGTTGTTGGGTATGGGAATGTGAAGTTTGGTGCGGGTAGGGCATTGTATAGGACATGCAATGAGGCTCTGGGAGGTTAGCCGAAGACGCTATCTTGATCAGGCTAGCCGAGCCGACGATGTGGGGGATGACATCTCGATGTAATGCTGGGGTGAGAGATCTTGGAACAAGTGACTGGACTGATCGGATTGCAATTTTTGGGAAAGGAATTGAAAATTAGCTTGTCGATACATTCGCTACGCAGTGTTTCATCACCTGATTCTACGAGTTATCCAACCTTGGACCCTCCAACAACGTTTACACAACTTCTCCGCCCAACGCATCAAAACAACATCACCAACACGACAATCATCCCTTGAAATGCCATTCAATCTGATCCTAGACCTACTTCCCGAGGATTTCGACCACCTCCATATATCGCCAGATCGCTGGCAAGATCAAGAAACCACAATAACTCTCATCACGAAGCAAATCCATCGAGAGGAAAACCATCCCTTCGATCCGCACCGAGATCCCGTCCACGTCTCTCTCAGTATCAACAATCCCCAAACCTTGGCAGAACTAGGCGAGCAGCTCTCCAACTTACCACCCAGGACCCGTGGCCTCACTCTCTTCTTGCCCGAAAACCCGCCTGGCGCGAAGCCTTCCATGTCAGATGTTTTCTTGCCGGTCAAATACATTACCGGACTCCGCGTCAAAATCTTGCCTTCCGACTTCCCCGAATATGAGCCCACGCCAGAAGACTGGGACGCGCTGGCCGAGGCTTGGAGGGATGCATTTTTTTTGCATGCCAGGGCGGCATCATATCGAAAATGTGCTGCTGGATCTACACGGCATAGATGCCTTCGTGATATTCGACATCGTTCCTCTTCTAGTGGAGGTGACGACGGGGTTGTATACGAGAACGAAAGAAGAAAGTGAAAGAGAGTTAGTTTTTGGCGTTGTGGGTGCGGAGAGACAGCGAAAGTGGATAGAGGCGCAGTTGCCGGGGAAGTCGGAGGATGAGTTGTTTGAGGAGGAGTTGGCTGCCGCGCGAAGGCAGCGTGGTGGGGCGTAGAGTTGAGTGGTATGTGGGGTTTCTATTGCAAGGCCTGATGTATGGTTGAGTATGTGTGGAGCTTGGGTGGCTTGCCGTTGCTTTCGGCCTTCGCATATCATCCACATCGTCTCCGCTCGCGACTTGCTACGTACAGGCTCAGTGCTCGTCACATCTTCAAGAAAATCGCGTTAGCTGATAGAAACATTGCAACATTGATATTCGTGTCCAAACGGCGAGACCGTCACCCTACAATCCTCTAATTCAACCAACGCATCAACCTGACATGAGACGAACTTTTCGCAATCCGCCTCAAGTCGCATCGCGCATCTAAATACCACTTTCCACAGGGATATTGACTCCCAAGTTCCGCAACTTATCCGTAGCAGCCTCAACCAGCATACTATTCCGCTGTATGAGCTCCTGCACCTGCTCATTCTCTGCCTTCCTCGAGTAACTCGGTACTTTGACACCGGTACCTCTCGCTTGCTCGTGTTCGCCTGCTTGCTTGGCATTCCTCATAGCAGCTTCGATTTGTTGCGCTTGCTCCTTCTGTACCTCCTTGAGCCTGTTGAGACGCTGCCAGGCCGGACGTTCGCTGCCATCAACAGTGTCGGTCAAGGTCTCGCTTGCAGGATCAATGGCGCTGTCCATTGTCTGCAACTCTTCGATCCAGTTGCTTTCCTTTTCGCTGAGTTCACTGGAGCCGATGCTGACCATCTTTCGTCGAAGAGCTTCGTAACGCGCGTTGATCTGATCTTGTCGCGCTGTAACCTTCTCCAAACGCTCGTCGATGTTGGCGCTGCCGTATGTCGATCCGTTGTCCGAGCCGACTTGATCGTTACCGGTAACACTGTCAATGTTTGCTGCTATCCCAGACGTCCTGTAGATTTGATCCCTGAACTCTTCCTGCAGACGCGTCGCGCGGTTGAACAGATCGGAGACAGCAAGTTGAAGTTTGGAAGTCTGCGCAGAGAGTACGCGGTGAACATCCATAAGAAGCCCCAGGTTCGCAGGAGATAGCCTAATCTCATCCTTGAGAGCACCTCTATGCCGTGCGGGGATGTTGATGGAATTGTAAAGATCAAACGGTTCGTAGAGTTCTTTTGGTGGTTGCCAAGCTTGACGCACTTCCTTGTTAGAGCCAGTGATTGCCATGTATTCGGCAATTTCTTCTTGGGTAGGGAGACCTTCTTCAGGTGCATCGAGCAGAGCAGCTTGGGGTTCACCGTCAACTGTGGTGAGAAGAAGATAACCGACGTTCCCGTCTTCAATAACGGCGACTGCGGTGACTTCTTGCTCGTCCACATCGCCAGTGACGCGTCGCTGTATGTATTGGTCCACGGAGGTGTTTGCCGATTCCAATACGCGCTTGATACGGAATGGTGAGCCCTCGGTCTGTGGCTGGGATAGCTCAGTCTCCAGCTTCCTGACCCAGGGCTCCATTGAAACGTAGAAGACCCCACTGGCGTGTGATACGAAGAATGAGAAGTCGGTGTGCACATCTGGCGTGATGCTCTGGTTGAACGAGGGTTCATCGCTTTCCACCAGTGTAATTGTTTCGGCAATGATCAGCTCGTGTTCGGTTGGTTCTGTGGTGTCAATCTCGTCTTCCGGTGATGGCAGCCATCGCCCAACGATGCCCTCAAGGTCTAAACAGACATGTACCTTGCTCGTTTCGGTGAGCAAGCACACGACAGCGGTCGGCAGACCCTCTGCAGCCTCCTCTTCTTCGCTCTCGGAGAGGGTCTTCAGGGAGAAAACAATCATGTCGCTAAGCTCAAAATCATCGACTTCAGGCGAGATAGTGAAAGGTCCCTGTAGCAACGGCACCGCAGGCGCACTGTGTGGGCGAGCGAAGACCTGAACTGTGTCACCCTGCGCCCGCTCCTCTGCGAGAGGCTCCTCGTATAAGATGTCCGACAGCCATGAGACCTGCTTCTCTGATGTTTTCAACTCGTCTTTGGGCGATGTCTCGTCTTCTGAGAGCTCGGCGTAGTTGATGTTGATGGAGGAGGTAAGGGTTTGGAGGAATGTGTGGCTGCCGGGCGACTCGACCAACTGCCACTTGCTCGGTAGCAAAGGACAGAGCGCGTATACGTCTCCAAGTACCGTCGCGATCCACAATGTCATCGGCGCCCAGCCATGGACACCTTCTTGGTCTGGGAAGTCGCCAAAGCATGCCGATGCAACTTCCAGCTCGACTGAGTCGGGAGAGAAGCCCTTGGAAGCTCCGAATTTGGAGGCGCTCAGATCGTCCTGGTCGCTGGTAGCGTTTGCGAGTTTGGGCAGATCGATGGAGAGCGATGGCTCACTGAAGGTAGACCTGTCGGCGCGGTTGATCTCCCACAGCCTGACTACGCCCGCCTTTGTGATGGTGACTAGACAGCGCCCGTGATAGCCCAATGGATGCCATAGTGTTGTTGCGACGGGCGACTCTTCGAGAACGTGTACGGTCGGTCCCAACTGGAAGGCCTTTGGCTTCAACGGGCCGTCGTCCTCTCCAGCTCCGAGCAGCGACGAGTCGGGAAGGTGTATTACGTGTACCGTATGCGAGGTGGAGACGGTGAGGTAGTCTTCTTCGGGCGAAATGACGAGACGCGTGATCGGGAGTGGTATCGAGACTCTGAGTGTTCGGTATGCGGGCTGTTGCTCTTCCTTGAGGTTGACCAAGTCTGCCCATCGTATTTCGTTTCCAACAGCGACAAAGATCTCCGATCCCCTCGTTGCGATCGTCTTTCGCGGTCCTGGTTCCTGCTTCTTCGCTGCGACTCCATTCCCGTTTGTCTGCTTTGGCGCAAACAGATGATAGCCTGGGTTCGGTCGGCTGAGCCAGTCCGGCGTATAACCCAGTACTTTTGGCATGACGGCGAGCTCCCTCGGGTAATATTGAGAGAGTTAGGAGTGGGTATGGAATAGTTGCGTGGATTGTAGAGGTAAGAGTGTGGACAAACAAAAGTTCCAGCCGCGCGATACAGCGCCAAGACCGACGCGTCTCGAGAGCTCCGAGCTCGACTTTCGACTTCCGATCCTTACACTCACTCCAAAACAACCCTCGATCTTCTCTCACTCCCCCGGGCCACGGTCGCTTCCTACAAATCTAGCCGACATCGAAGTTGAGGGCGCGCATCATGCCGGCGCTTCGCAGTACCATTGACCGCCTCGACAAGCCGAGTTCGTATGCGACAGCAAAGGTATGGGAGGCTACAACACATCGCATTAGTACGCAAATACTGACACTCTTCTAGAAGCGCAGACGCGACCGCAACGGACGTGACGATGACCGCGGCCGCTCTCCCTCGCCCGAAGACAAGCTCAAAGACGCAACCACCCTCTACGTCGGCAACCTTTCCTTCTACACCACCGAAGAGCAAATCCACGAGCTGTTCAGCAAATGCGGCGAGATCAAGCGCTTAGTCATGGGTCTTGACCGATTCCAGAAGACACCATGCGGATTCTGCTTCGTCGAATACTACACACACCAGGATGCGCTGGACTGCATGAAGTACATCGGTGGCACTAAGCTCGATGAGCGTGTTATTAGGACGGATTTGGACGAGGGCTTCGCCGAGGGAAGGCAGTACGGACGCGGAAAGAGCGGTGGTCAGGTGCGCGACGAGTACAGAGCCGAGTATGATCCTGGTAGGGGCGGATACGGCAGAGCTGTGGACGAATACCACGAAGCGCAGTAAGATGACAATAGACGACTACCTCTCGGACAACTAGGACGTTAATCACGAGGAAAAACCTAGGCCATATTGATCGGGAGAACCCAGCGCCGCTGCGCCCACCACACGTACTACGCTGAGATTGAAGACGACGAAGGGCACTTCATTTACATGGGGAAGCTCGCCCAACCCAAACTCAACTGGGTGTCCAAACACTGCAAAGAAGGCGTCTGGCGTCTATCATTCGGCATTGTTCATTAGTGCTCTAGTTATAAGCACATGCTCATAGGGGGTAAAGATACCATACTAGATACCTTCCCAAAACTCAGTACCATCTTCCAAACACCCTCTCTTATGCGATACAAGAATGCCGCCCAGCCATGCGCCCGTCAATGTCTAACATTTTCTGTCACTCATCTAGTCCGGTCCGCAAGTTCAAACTGCTGTCGCCTCTCCACGGCCTTTACAACCTCTCCCAACCACCAGGCATGTATCCGTGGGTCATCCGTCAGTTCAGGATGGAAACTGCACCCAAACACATTGCCCTGTCGTACAGCTATTATATCCTCCGCACCCGGATGGTCATGTACCTGGTTCTCCTGCAAAGGCTTCGCATTGGTCGACAGCGTAGCCATGACCTCAACCTCGCTTTCCAACTCCTTCCTCGCAAGATCATCCGCTGGCGTCTTACTCGGCGCAACAATTGTATCGTCCCTCTCGCTCTCCCCTTCTTGTATGCCCACTGCCTTCTTGCTCGGTAATAGCTTCTCTACGACAGGCGCGCGAATGAAGACGCATCGGTATGGATCGGTCCTGTTCGATTCGCTCGTCGATTTCAGGAAGGGCAGCTGGAGGTTTGCCTGGAAACTCTCGGTTTGCCGCCCGAAATGATTCCTGTTTACCCGCACGTCTAGACCTCCAATTAAGTCCTGGCCTCCCTTCTTAGTTCTATTGGCACTCTCTGCTAGTAGAATCAGGCCAGCGCATGTACCCCACGTTGGCTTGCGCTGCACTTTGACGAAGTCGCGGAGGGGCTCGAGGAGGGCGCTTCGTGCGGCTACGAGTGACATTGTTGTGCTTTCACCACCGGGGATGATGAGGCCGTCGCATTGTGCGAGCTGGGCTGGTGTGCGGACCTCAATGAAGTGGAAGGTTTGCGACGAGGGGATGTTCGAGGATGCTGCGCGGAGGAGTTGGATGTGTTCGCTGAAAGCGCCTTGGAGGGCAAGCACGCCGACCGTGATGTCCTGAATACCGTTCTTTACCGTCATAGTAAAAACAAATCAGATCCCAGGAACTCCGTGACTGTAGGAAAGAAAGGAATTGAAGTGTTAAGCAAATGTACAGTCATGCAACGGAAAGCGACGGCAATGGCGAAATCTTTATCGATAAGCCCAGCCCCCACTAAAACGCGGTAATCGCCCGCGCGAGCACATGTCACCTCACACATGCGTTTGGTTCAGCCCTATTGATCCGCTTACCCCGACACGGTGCCGCTCTTCGATCTACCTCTCCATCATCGACATCTCGGACCCCCATTGATGCCGTGAACGATCATGACATGTAGATCCCCACGCGTTCTACACATCACGTCAAGAAAGGTCGTACCTGCACTAAAGCTTCCAAGGCTCATATAAGGCGAGAGTCCTTCTAGTAGTCTAGTCTCACTACTTTAGCCGATAACGCAATCCGGCCCGGTCTAGGACAGTGGATGAAGGCGCCATGATCGACAAACAGGATGAAGAGCCAACGGGACACGGTCTCACGTGCTGGCTACTGGATACGCGATCGTTATGGCCTGGGGAAAAGATCACAGATTCAGAATCAGTATGTCGTCTCACAAACATAGGTCTGCCCAGAACATCAACTCACCATTCCTAGGCTAGAGAAGCGCTCTCCCTCGTCACCCCCGAGGAACAAGACCTCATAAAACGCAAATACCACATAGCAGATGCGCGAATGAGCCTAGGCTCCGCCCTCCTCAAACGTCTTTTCGTACACAAAACTCTCGGTATACCATGGAAAGACATCCGCTTTGGCCGCAAACGCGATCCTAAACACGGGAAGCCTATCGCCTTGCTAATACCACCGCAACATGGCCCGGCTCCCGTGGAATTCAACATCAGTCACCAAGCCGGTCTCGTCGCCCTCGTAGGCTGCGCAACCAATGAACTTGACGCAGAAGTCGGCGTGGATATAGTTTGCGTTAACGAGCGAAACGACTACCGTGTTGTCGACGAAGAGGGTTTCGATGGTTGGGTGGATATGTACGCTGAGCTCTTCAGCGGGGAAGAACTCTTCGACATCAAGTACAACGTTGACCCATTCCCCCTTCTCGACGGCACAATGGTCACGCATGAGATTCTGGGTCGACACGATCGCTGTTGTAGGCGAAATGAGCATCTCAACGTGACACTACCGAGTGGAGAAAAGAGGGAGTTGGACTCGGATCTTCTCATCGATGCGAAATTACGCCGGTTCTACACGTTTTGGTGCTTCAAAGAGGCATATATCAAGCTGGATGGCGAGGCATTGCTCGCAGAGTGGATACCACAATTGGAATTCAAGCACGTACGTGCGCCGAGGCCGGGGACGCCGGCGAGGTGTAGTACGCATGGGACCTGGGGTGAGAGGACGAGTGACGCCGAAGTTTGGTTCTCGACGAAGAGTGATGGGAAGGGGCCTGCGGGTGTGCGAGGGTTGAAGAAGGGCGAGTGTGGGAGACTGGAGGACACGAGGGTGGAGATTCAGGCTTTTGAGGAGGACTTCATGATTGGGGTTGCGGCGAGGGAGAAGAGAGATTCGGCGGTCAATGGGAGTAGGAAGAAGCTGCCGGATGTTTTGACGCATTTTAGAGGGCTGCATTTGGAAGAGGATGTTATGAGCGTTGCGAGGGGTGCTTGATACTTTACTTCTGATGAGAGCACCCATACCATGCAGGTCCCTTATCCGCTGCAAAGTGGCAAAAGAAAATTACATGCCAAATTCTTCTTTAGAACCAGATTCTGCGACCCGAGCCCCTAGCCCCCATCTACTGGTTGTGGCTCGCCGAATATTTGTCCAAGGTGATAGCTTTCTTTCTCGCGGTCACGGTCGTGGTTTGGAAGCGGCTTAGGTGCTTTCCTATGTTCAGACTCGCCATCCGGCGATGCTAATTCGGCGACAGGTTCACTGTACTGTGGTCAGCAATGATTCAAAATTATCGATTGTACAATATACCCTTGTACAGAAGATCGAGGATTTCTGATAATGTAGGGTGCCAGTGCAGATAGTGCTGTCTCGTCAAATGTCTCGGGTGAGATCAAAAACCGCATCATGTCGTGAGTTGGTGCGGCTGGTGCTAAGGCCGACGCTGCTTTGCCGTCCTGGGGTACTTGTAACAGTCCGGAACGAACGCATCCGTTGCAGAACAAATCCGGGCTACCCTTCCAAAACACGTTCAAAACATCTTCAGCAGATGGTCGGTTGCTGGGGGTATGGTTCAGCATGTGACATGTCAAATAAATGACGGCGCTTGGCCAAATCTGTGGGGAGATTCTGCCAGCCATATGTTCGATGGCCTCAACGATGTTATCTGCATAGTGATGCATGTCTGGCTTCATAGGATCTAGTTCCAGTGCGCATAAAATCTCGAAGTAGACACACCCGAGCGAGAACACGTCCGATTTCCGATTGCGAGGTTCAGAATTATGTACCTCCGGGGCCGCATACTTGCGGGTGATGGAATCAGGGTGGCCTGTAGTGTCACTCCGCGTATCTGCACCGTAGTCGAGAGAGGATCCAAAGTCCGTATATATGAAAGAGCCCTTGTGTACCAGAATGTTGTGAGGTTTGATGTCTTTGTGTCGTACCTTCTGGGCGTGCATGAATTGTAATCCGCTAGCGAGGCATCCGAAAGCATAGTCCAAGGTGTTCATCTCACTCTGTGTGAGGAGACCCTCATGAGCATCGTCGAGGAATTTGTCCAGTGAACCCCCATCAGCGACAGGTGTCAGCAAAATGCCTACTTCACGCTTCCCTACGTAAGTGGCAAAGATCCGGGTGATATGATGATGTGGAGCTAGCCGTTGGATGACTAGGATCTCGTTATGAAAGATTCGCCTCCTCTCAGCAGCAGAACCGCGGACTCTGAACACCTTGCGAGCGAAAACCCTGCCGGTATTTAGGTCCACAACCTCCTCCACGTTGGAGCAACCACCCTGACCTAAATTGCGGAGCAATCTAAGGGGCAGCTCGTCGTCAGGCTCAAGGAGGTAATGCTGACCCTCCTCGATACGTATAATTCGTTTGGGGTCGCTGTCGCCGTTCATCGCCGCGGGAAATTATACACGGGTGACGCCGCGCAGTCGCTGGGTGGTAAATCTTAGGCGTAGAGCGCGACTAACAAAGGTCAGCCTGCTCGCTCGATAATTATACTATCATACGTCAATGCGCTCACAAGTCGCCGCTAAGTCAGCGGCTTTACTGGCAATATCGACGGGTGCGAGAGGCTAACATGGACGCACAAAGCTGAGATAGTGTTGCGTAGATAAAGTCAGGATATGCAGCGTCCTTGGAACTCTCGGAGGTTGGTTTACTAAGTTGGAGAAGAAAAGAGGTCTTCCAATTTTTTCTAGAAGGCTGAAAGTGAAGCATGCATGCATGAAGTGAGAAGGCGGGCTCGCGTCACAATGCATGGCGCAGGCTGAGGGCAGCATAGGCGATTGGCTCCAGGTGGAGGCACTGCCTATAGCCATATCAACCCCCAAGACCGGCTTTCGACCGCAATTCTGAGCACTGCAGCGATGTTTGTCGGTGATAATGATATCTGAGATATCATAGGTATCGAGGTGGAGTATGGGCGTTCGCGTTCGTTGACAGGAAACAGGTCGCATATACCTAGTATACGCGATAGGACAAAGTCCTTCTCGAATCTCAACATAAGTGCCATGAATCGCCAGGCAGAAGGAACCTATTCATCACTCGTTTAAATCGGCAGTTCGCTGTTGTTGGAGTACAAGAAAAAGAGAAGTGCGGCGAGCCTATCACGTTTCGTAGCGTGGCTGAGTAAGCCCAGATCCCGATTCCGAGATGACCTCGGCGGGCGCGTCGGTCCATATTCCCTCAATGTAAGCTCTCTAGAACACTACCTGGCCCTCTCGCAGTACAACGAACTCTACGAGCGCGCCGACAAACTCAACATATCGGAGTGCCTCATGTTGATGCCTAGTCTGAAGATGCCCAAGAAGATACGCGTCATGATTGCTGGACCCTGAGCCCATAAGGTTTGATAGCTACGTCAACGCACCCGAAGTCAACCCGCAGCTATGCCCCGATGTATATTACACCCCTCACCAACTCAACATCACGCCCGCAGTTTCCGCCTTACTCTCACGCAGTCAATTGAACGTTATTTCGAAGCCCCCATCCTCAAAGCGATCCAAAAACCGCCACAATGTCTTCCAACTCGCTCAACTACCCGCTCCTCGCCATCCCAGCCTACTACGTCTTCTCTCTCGTCCCGCACATATACGCAGCTAGCCTTCTCACAGCCAATGGCTACAAGATCAACAACGCGAACCCCAAGGCAGCGTTGTCACCAGAAGCCGTGAAGGGCAAGGTGCCCGATGCTGTGTAAGGCGTCCCCACTCTCCCCACCTCAAGTCCCTTGCTAGTACGGTACTAACATGTTCACAGCTTCAAAAAGTACCAACGCGCCGAGAACGCCCAGTCGAACAATATGGAACAAATGCCCCTCTTCGCCGCCGCCGTTATCGCCAGCATCATCGCCGAACGCACCACCGCAACAGGCATAGGACGAGAGGTCATCTCAGGCGATGCAACAGGCTTGACAACATTTGTCACAGCTTGGTTCGCAGTCAGGGCAGCGTACTCTCTAGCATATGTACAAATCGCGACTTACTCGAAAAGCATGATCAGGAGCGGCCTTTGGGTTATCGGAAGCGGTCTAGCGATGTACCAAATCTACAAGGCTGCTGCGATCTTGGGCTAGATATCATGGATGATGAAGCGGTATGGTGAGCACGACAAATATTACAAAGACAACATGGAACAAGAAATTTAGTGTTAGGACTATCCTTTAGAATCGATGTGCAGTGAGATCAATTGCTACTCAATTCAGGTGTGCCAGCAACTAAGGACTTCCGAATTCACAGTACCAGCGATCGACACTTGCCAGTGTAACCTCGCGTCGCCGTCCCAAAACGGATGAAGTCCAGACACAAACACGCACAACGGTTACACGAGTATATCACGCGTGGTGGCGCATTCACACTGGGATTGGCCTAGAACGAACGACGAAACTCATTGAACGTACAAGTGACATAACGAATCTGCAGGAGACATTGACGACTAGCAGGTAGCCGTAATTCCACGCAGCCGCCGATATTTGGCCCATTAACTCTGATATCTCGCGAGCGTCATGCGATAACCAACCTTTCACTGCATGCGCTCACTTTCTACTGAAGATATAGTAGCTGCTTTCTATATCACATCATGATTCACCCCAAATCGTCGCACTCACTTCGCTTTGTATTGGCTTGTCTTCTACGCTGTGCCGCGACACAATCATCTTCAGCCTCTTTCCTTTATCCGGAAAGCGCTTCTCCCGTCTTGACAATCAACGTTTACGATTTTGTAAACATCAAATGGATGTCCAACTACGATCGAGCTTATTTGTACTTGTGGTGTGATCCCAATAGTGGGACCGGCAAACAGGCAGAATGTATGTAACCACCCTCGCAAGGTTTCTCAGTTACGGTCACCATCAAATCAGATGAACTTGCTGAAGCTGAGATACTATAGTTCATGAAGTGAATTCATGGGAGGTCGAATCAACCGGCGAAATGACCTTTTCGCCCCAGGAAAAATTGGATACAAGTAGCGGTTGGAGCGGTCCCATCGCATGTTACTTCGACATCCAATACTATGATCGCGGTAATGACGGGCCGCAGAGTCCACTGTTCACGATCGTGTCAGATATCGATAGTGCTCCAACTCTCTACGATCAATCGTTCACATCGCTCTTGACTCCTACGACCAGTGAGATGACGATGACGTCCCTGCCATCCTCTTCAACCATTACTTGGTTGCCAGTCTCCAGCGTAACAACAGTATACGATCAACCGTCTACATCGCTCATCGCATCTACTACTAGTGAGATGAAGATGACCTTCATGTCCACCTCTTCAACGACTATTTGGTCGCCAATCCCCAGCGTAATAACGGAGAGGGACAAGAAGACACTCTCGGGTGGTGCGATAACAGGGGTAGCATTGGGCGCAGCGTTCGCAGTGGTGGCATTGGTAACAGTAGGATGGTTCTTCTGTCGGTACCATCGGAGGATAAAGGCGTTAGAGACAAGAATGTCTGGAGCTGGCGGCCCAACAGGACATCCATCGCATAGATCGATGCCTATACTACCTGCGGAGAAGCGTGAAAGGCCACAGGCCGAGTTGTCTGCATGGGTGGCATAGAATGCGGGAACCGATGTTTTATTGTTAAGAGTCGGACTGGCCGAATCTCAGACTTTGTCAGCGTTACCTCCCCACGCTCCATGTTCGCCCTCCGCCTTGGGCTTCCCTATCCTCTCTAGTTGCGCCTTCATGCCCGTACTCATCGCCATAGTCTTCATGCTCTCATCACAGTACTCTACACCGTCTCGAAAGTAGAAGTTCTTGCCAAAAAGCTCCACAGTCAGACCCCAGTTATCCTTGCCCGCCACCTTCTTTCCCTTAGCATCCTCAATGTCTCCTCCATCCACCACCTTCACCACGGCGTTAACGACTGTCTCCATGGGTGTCATGAAGCTCTCCGGGAGGGACCCCCATTCCTCTTCACTCAACAGGCGGGTGCGAACGATGCTTGGGCAGACCGTGAACGTTCTAATGCCAGCGTGGTGGTATGCTACTGTGATAGCACGGTTAAAGTGGATTACTCCCGCTTTAGCACCAGAGTACATGGGGCCGAACTCGGCTGGATAGAGTCCACCACAGCTTGCAGTCATGACTAGGGCCGCGTCATTGTTCTCTCTGCCATGCTTGGCCTGGGATTTCCGGAAGTAGTGGAACGCAAGCCATGAGGTGTTTACCACTGCCGTGTAATTGACATCGATGACGAGGCCGTTCGGTGGTGGAGGCGGCGCGTCGAGAGCATGTTCTTCGTAGAAATCTAGGTGTTGGTGATCAAGTCAGTTGGTGTCTGATTTGCCATACGAATAGGTTTGCTACGCACTGTCTTTTTCGGCGATACCAGCGTTCGCGAAGACGAAGTCGAGACGACCTGACTTTGACCATGCTGATTCGAAAGCTGCTACCAGCGAGGCGTAGTCGGCTACATTCGCCTGGTGAGCATGCGTATTCTCGAGCAAAGACGTGGCTTTCGTGAGATTATCAGTGCTGAGGTCGACAAGGTGCAGGTCCCACTCTTCATTAGTACGAGCTGCGAGGGCCTCCGCAACAGCGAGTCCCATTCCACTAGCCCCGCCAGTAATGAGAGCTACTTTCTTGACCATGTTGAGATTGTCGAGTAGGGTAGATGAGTGATTCTTGTAGAGGAGGTGCCAAAGGCGACAGTGTGATAGTAAACAGCGAGCGTGTGAGTGTTCAAGATTGGGTGATTTGGGGTGCAAGAAGGAAGTCGTTGGAATTTATAGATTATGCGTACGAGGACGACCAAGCGCGCTTCAGGAACTAGAAGGGCTGAAATAGATAGTACTAAGGTTGCGATATCCCTGCTCTGCATCAACATTCCACAGTAATAAGGTTGCGATATGTGCGATGGAGGGCACTTCTGCGAGCACGTGATGCCAAGGTATACGCTAGAGCCACTCCGTGTGTGCATCGGCGTGAGGTGGCCGACGTCATTCTGACTCATTCTCAATCATTCAGCGCCGGCTTTACAATCGGCCGGTGGCTGAAGCACATCTTCGCGTAGGCATCCGGGTCTAATGCGCGAATGTGCCCCGAGATGGTAGCAAATGCGGCGTCAAGGGTGCGCATCATGCTTTGGATGGCATCGTCAAGCGCCGGCTTTGTCGGACTAGACGATGCAGCGAGAAAGGCGCCTTCTCATATTTAGACAAATACCCCAGCCAAATCTGTCGGAATAGGGTCCTTTCTTGACGAACTTAGCCCATAATTGGACTTCAGCAAGTGAACCCGACGTTGGTTGGGGAGGTCAAGAGGCAGACTGTCCCTCATGCTGTCCTGTGCAGACTTCTTTTCCACCCGACCGCGCTGGTACTTATGCCGTCTCTCCTCCTTTCATAAATTCTGCCGCCTTGGCTCGACATGCAGCCGTCAAACGTCTGAGCAGGGCCTCAAGGCGAGCGCAATGAGGACTAGAGTGTGTTGTTGTGGGCAAGGCGTAGGAACTTCGGTGGTGAGAGAACTGCGGGTTGGGGCCTGAGCGGCGGTCGTGGGGAAGCGACGGTTTCGGGTAGGCGTCAGTGGCCAGAAAGTCACCATGGCGAGAGAGCGTCGTTGGTCAGGAAGCGGCAATCGCGGGTGAGCATCGACGAGGGAGCCGCGAAGTTGATGGCTGGTGTCGGAACAACGCCCATCGTGGGGCTCTAATGGCGATCCTGCGACGTCTTGGGCTCTCGTCCTTCGTTTGCTGACGAGTAGCATAGAAGCGATAAAGGTGCGCAACGAGCGGGTGCAGCGAGCGGATACATGCCAGCGGTGATGTCGCAGCTCTGGCGTTGTTGTTGTGCGAATCGAGGGCGGGTTTGGCGGGCCAGAACAAACAACCACAACTGCGGTCGCATCACTCTGACAGCCGGGCCGTACAGGCGTTGGCGAAAGGGTGTGGACGCAACATTACGGCGCGCGTTCGGGGCGGAGGCGTAATCGGCGTCAAGGTACAGTCACGAAGATGTAGTGGTGAGGAGTAGTTATGAAATTGATGATATAATCGCAGCGGCTGCCTGCTTGGCGCAAAAGTGTTGTCGGATGTGCACGACGTCATTCAAAATAGGATGCAGGTGTGGCTGCATGAGCGGTGTCAGGTCGGAGGCTGCAGATAAACAAACGATCATTTCTAAAGTTCCATCCGAACCCAATGTCTGCCAAAATGCTTTTGCACGCATACATATCGGCATCGAAATGTCGCAAGCCAGCGTAAGCAGGGTGGAAAGGATGGGCTCGTCTATCCGTATCGAGTTGCGTTAGAGCAGCTGAATAACAAGACAGGATATCGGATAGACACGGACTACAAAGATACCTAGGTAGCAAAGGCTTTCCTGTGGAGGTATATTCGAGAAGACGTTGAAGACATCTTGTTGAGGAAAGACGACTTAAGTCGCTCGTGCAGATTGCGCTGCACATTACCAGTTGTTTGTATCTTTCTGGGCATGCATGGAGAGGCGGCCTTGCTCACACCTGCAGTAAACTATCGCAAGTGGTCGAGAGCCGCATGGCATACTTCTTAGATCAAGCAACGCGCAAAAGCATCAATTAGGATAGCGCGACCAACAGATTCAAGATGTTCTTCAAGGTAGGCCCGAACTTGAATCGTAAGTGTGGGACCGTTATCTCGGTCGTTCACGTCGGCGGTATTGATGCGCCAGGGTTCACGCATCCTAGCCCCCGCAGTATTTCTTCTGGAATCTCAACATCCCCGAAGGCTTGGTTCTGCATCCTCACTCGTTCGTTTTCCTTGTTCAATTCGCTGCAGCTGGTAATACGGAAAGAATGTTGTCGTCAACTCCCCTCAAGACAGCCGCATGGCTTGCGTTCACGGCTTCTCTCAGCTCAGCCACACCCCAGTATGGCACTTCTCCAAAGGTCCAGTTCAAGCACTGGCCTGCTGAGGCAGCGACTGCCCTCTCCACCATGATCGCAAAGAACGCCAATCAAAGCAACTATGCGGTCTTCGACATGGACAACACTAGTTACCGCTACGATCTCGAAGAAGCGCTTCTTCCTTTCCTGGAGAACCGTGGAGTCCTAACGCGCGATAATCTGGACCCCAGCCTCAAATTGGTCGATTTCAAGGACACTGCGAACTTTACTGAATCGTTGTACAGCTACTACAACCGCCTGTGCGAGATTGACGACTTTGTCTGCTATCCATGGGCCGCGCAAATCTGGTCTGGTTTCACACTGCGCGAACTCAAGACCTACGTGGATGAGCTCATGGCGTACAACTCATCCATTCCCACGAAGTACTGGGACGGTGACGAAGTCACATCCAGCAGCGTAAACCCACCGAAGGTGTTCCGGGGCCAGGTCGAACTCTACAATGCTCTCATGGACAATGGCATCGCCGTCTATGTTATCAGCGCTGCGCATGAGGAGCTTGTCCGCATGGTGGCCAGCGACCCGAAGTACGGATACAACGTACCACCCCAAAACGTCATTGGTGTTACCACCGTCCTGAAGAACGTTACCTCCGGCGAGCTCACCAACGCTCGCAAGCAGATCACAGAAGGAACCTACGACGAGACCGCTAATCTCGACCTGGTCGTGACTCCGTATCTGTGGACACCTGCTACATGGTTTGCCGGAAAATGGGCTGCTATTCTTACCTACATCGATCAATGGAAGCGCCCAATCTTAGCTGGTGGTGATACTCCCGGAAGCGATTCGTACATGCAGTTCCATGGGGTCGACACAGCAAAGGGTGGTGTGCATCTGTGGATCAACCGTAGAGACGCGTACTTTGAGCAACTGCAAGAGGAGATCAGGAACAACACTCAGGCGCAAATTGCTAATGGCAGGGAGGTTACGGCGGACAAGAACTGGGTCGTTGTCAAGCCCGAGGAGATTCTGTAAATATGTAATGCAAAGGTGGAGAGGCAGAGATGCGATAGATAGTGGCGGATGAATGGTAGCCCACGCTCCAGGGCTGCCAAAGAAACAAACCACGCTAGTTGACGTAATCGCTCGGCTAAGCTTTCTTCCAGCCCGCTTTTAGTCTTCCCCTTCTCGTGCCTGTTATCGACGTGTCAAGCTCACCAACCACCTCACTCACCCACGCGCCGCCACTAACCATGCAAGTGACGCGTGAAATCAGAGCGCATGCATAAAGGGATAGTAAGTCGCGCTCTCGTTACCTTCCACCTTGTCCTTCCTTCCATGATGATCCCACATTACACTTGAACCGAGATTCTTTAGTTCCGGCCCTTCCTTCGTGCGCCTCGTGGTTTGCGAAAGCTAGCCCGGGTGCACTGGGTTGGGGCAGACTTTGGTTTCGATGCGCGAGTAGAAGATAGCTCTGATTTGCACAATATTGCACCAGTAAACCCATTTCCGATGTTACCAGTACTAACGGAGACCAATTAGTTCAACGTACAATAATGTAATATAGTGGTATCTAAAGCGCTGGCACGATGCAAAACGGATGCCGAAAGAAAATTCATCAAAAATAAAACCTAGCTGTTATCTTTCGATCAGAACCACATCAGCGTCTGGTTTACTCTGATCATCTTCCCGTACCTCATCCGGCTGCTCTTTTGGCATTTTGGTCTTCTTTTCCGGTTCCTTGTACCAGACTTCACTTGGGTTTGCCAAGATACTCTTTTGCAGCGCGTCGCTGAACATCTGCATCACACTAAACGCGCTCGCATCTTTGACACGAGTCTTTCCCATGGTTGTGTAGTGCCTAACGAAGTTCCCGTTGCAATCCGATATATCCTTGTTGGCGGTACCAGGACGAGACAACATATCCTGGCGGAAACCGGGCCACCCTACCGCATCGTCGCAGGGTATCGTAACGATCGTTTCTGGCGTTTTGTTGAAGTCGTAGCGGATGTATTCTGAAAAGGCGCGCTGTTCGTGGCTCCATTCGTATCTCCATCTCGCGCAGCCTTTGTAGCGTGTTTCGGATGTACAATCGCGCCACGCATCCAGTAGTTCCAAAGTCGTGGATGAGTTTTGCGCAACCACAAGGCCGGTATTGAGGACGCGCATCCCCTTGCTGTCTAGGCTAATCGAGCCTTCATCGCGGATTTCCTCGGTGTCCCATGGAAGAGCTATGGATGTGTGCTGTTTGATGCCCCAGCGGTTGAACATCCACTCGAAGGGGACATCCGGATGCGCTATCGTAACGTCGGCATCCATTACAATCACGAACTGATATTTAGGTATCAGTTCGCGCAGAACGTGGGGTAATATCCACGTGTTGTAGTGGTCCTTCATGTCGCGCGCTTGATAGAACTTGTAGTCGTAGCCATGGACCATGGCGTACAAATAATGGTTCATGATGGAGTTGGAGACCAGGCCGGCGTCTTCGGTCTTGAGATTTTCCCAATCTAAGCGTTCTGGGTTGAGAAGCTCGTTCTCGCCAGTCGGCACACGCGTGTCGATGTCCACTATCAAGACCTTTTTGCTCAGAGGCTTCGTCCAAATCGTCTCACTTCCACCTTCATAGTATGTACCGGACGGATCAACATATCCGGTCGCGCTCGGATCGTGTTTTATGGACGCAAACAAACTGGCAACCGTGTCTCGGAGGGTTGGGTTCGACGACCTACACTGAGTGTTAGTGAAAGAGGCTCTACACCAGGACCTGGATTGACATACGGACGTGTGATCCTCGCCACGACGAATACACTTTGGTCGCGGAATGCATAGAAAGAAAGTGTTGCCACTATTATGAAAGTAGCAATGGCGACAATATAGGTACGTTGCGCAGCGAGCATGATCAAGGGAGTGACAACCGGGGAAGCAAGAAAGATTACCTGTCCACGGAACCTACGAGATAACGAGTGTTCAAAGGAATGGGATGACGCAGGATAGCATTGGCCCTACGGGGAGCGAGTTGACTATCATCAAGTCGTGCCATTACGCCGAGCTCGCCAGCAATGCGCGTCGCTGGTTCCAACCCTGTCATTTAGCGGAAAGATACACGGTCATTCCATGTGCTACGAGCTAGGCAAGCTCCCAGCACAAGAGATCTGATGAACACCGCCGGCCCGTACGGTAAACCGTTGCGTTTCAGTTCCCTTCTGATAGATTTGGCGAGCGGCTTCCCAAGATCTGCAGGTAGCATCGAACTTGTCGACTCTACGACCGCATTGACATATCATTATAGGAATGAAACGCATCGCTCACCCGCTTTGGGATCGTATGGCAAATTCCCAAGGAGGTCCGTGGTATGACCGTTTACTGATCGCGATCACGGACACACCAATCATTGGTTTCTCGGCCCCATACGGTTACGTGTAACGGCTTCGCGATTGTGGCTGACGACAGGTCTGATGGAAGCTACTAGCGTCGTTGACAGCGTTCTCATCTGATCTCAACAAGGTATGCAAATGACTGTAGCTAGGAGCAAGTACGATGCGCTCAACTCCTTCACACACTTGGGTTGTTAGTATGAAACAGAGGCTTTTTGTCGCAACTCCATCGTACTGCCCTCATTTGAACACGTCCGACACACCAAATTCGGAACAGCTTTTCGACCATAAAACGTTGCGGACCATTGAACGTAGTATGATTACTTCGATACCTGGATAGGAACGTGACGGAGAAGAGGCCGCGCCGCGGATGCGAAGTAGCGCCGATTGATATATTCCGACGCTCCCGACGCTCCCGTCGCCTTATTCTTAGTTAAACTCAACTTTATTAATCATGTACATAATGCGCAACGCATGTGCAGACGATAGTCATTCGGCATACGCTTCCAGCATCGGTGTTGCAAGTTGTAGTACACTCAGATCAGCGAGGTGATGCTGAACTGAACGAACCGATGCTTGATTGTACAACAATTGCTATCTCGCGCAATGTTACAAATTGCTTTCACATGTAGACAACGACGTAAGAGCGCACGTAAGAATGATGGCATGTCAGCACTAGTGCGCAATGGTCATTTCCGCTCGCAAGACACGGCAATTCGCCATTTTGCATCTACGACGATCGCAATTGCGTACACCGAGATAATTCTGTCGCATTGCGCATACATGTTCCCGTCGCGGCATTCTAGTTCTCCCATTCTTTACTATTCAGACTCTATCGTCTTGCTGTAAAAGCTACCTAGGTACTGCATGTAGTACTCATCGAAGATGAACGGTCCCGAGGTCACGATGACCACAAGTCCTTTTGGAATTCTCGCCCCTAAACATCTCGTTCATTTGAAAAGTTCCCGTCCAATTTACCCAAAGTGTTGTCTGACCAGAGTCTAGCAAGACATCGTACGTTCTTGTTTGAGACGCATGTTGAAGAAAGTAGGCGAGATGACGGTGGGAGAAGCGCCAAGCATCTCGTGACCGAGGCAATTACATAATCCCGTTCAAACTTCCGATCTCCGCCCGCACTCGCTTTCGTTCTCGAGAGCGCGATCCAATTGCGCCACCCCAGCCCGCATTCATCCATCCACTTACGTACAGACGGTACGTGCATCTGAGATCGCGCGAATGCCTAGGTTTGGCTCCAAGAAGACGCGTTCGGGATGCGCACAATGCAAAGCCAGACGCGTCAAGGTAGCTTTCCCTTCCAAATCTGTCGCGTTCGCGTATACTTACCTACATTCAGTGCGATGAGAGTAGACCATGCGGCGCGTGCACGAAGTATCACGTCGAGTGCAGTCTTCTGGGGGTTGCAAGCCAAAGTCCAAGCCGTGTAGACACAACGTCTCCACGTAACGATCCTGCCCCAATAAACGCGTCAACACCCACGAATGGAAATGGAACAACGCCACTGGACACGGGCCTAATCCAAGAGGGGAGCGCATCTCCATTATTAGCAGGTGTCTCAGAAGAAGGCTGGATGCAGGACTTGGAACTGACGCACCATTATACCGCACATGCATATCAAACTATGCCAGGCGCCGAGCACGTGAAGCAAATATGGGGGCTCGCCGTTCCACAAGAAGCCTTCAAGTATCCTTTTCTTTTACACAGCATACTAGCCTTTTCCGCGAACCATCTCGCTTACATTAACACCTCCAGGGCCACCCACTTTCGTATGGCCGCCTCGACACATCAAAGCGCAGCACTGACAGGTCTAAATCATGCCGTCGCAAACATCGGGCCTCTGAATTGCCATGCTATTTTCGCTGCAGCATCAATGACTGTTATCAACGCATTTGCTGACGCGCGTGCGTACAACTTGGATGTTTTGGTGGAGATTTTGCAGTTAGCACGAGGCATGGATTATGTACTCAGCAGTGTGACCGACATGCTGAGAAAAGGTCCCTTCGCAGCCATTGTCCGGCCTGCTGAAGAGATGCCTAAGCCACCGTCCTTATTATCTGCCTTGCTCGTGGACATCCAGGCGCTGAGCTGCCCGACTTCTGCCGACCCATCGCCGGACGACATCAATGCTGCTGGGGCGGCTGAAGTACTTCGAAACGGTCTTCAATATTCGTTGGAAACTTCTACTCATCCAGCCTTGCGGGCGACGATGATATGGCCGATCGCTATCGCGCCGGAGTTCATCGAAGCGCTCAAATCAAGGACACATCCTGGAACTAGGGCCATCTTCAAGCGCTATTGTCAACTCGTGGAGTATGCAAGTACTGACTTCTGGTTCTACACAGGATGGAGGGGGATTTCTCAACACCTGTGATGTGTCATACATGGTAGTCTCTCTATGGTCTCCGCAATGAAGGAACGAAACCACTGATGAGTTAGTCTAATGAACTCTTCTTGGATGAACAACACTGACATCGACAGGTTTACAGACTCAAAACACGACGTGAAAGTACTCATGTCACTACCCGTATTCCACTTGCAGCTCAACGTATGTCTACTGCTTTTCACTGCAGCTTCTTATTGCCATACTGTCGGCTGGGTCAGTCTCTAGAAGCACACAGTGACTTCCACCCTATCAGATTGTAGTAGTGAATCAACATCACGAACGCATCGTGTGTATATAAGCTCCCTGGTGTTGCACCTTTCAACACTCACATCCATACACGACCACCCCCTACCTCTTCGCCCAGCCAACCTGCGCTCTCGGAATTCATCTACCCGACTACCAAAGTACAAGTCATTACACAGAAATTCGAATATGTCAGGCGCATCCTTCTTCAAGGTTTTGGGCCTTGCCACAACGGCATCGGAAACTTCGGTTCGGTCGAGGTTCAAGATTTTAGCACTGGCTTATCATCCCGACAAGACAAATGCAGTCAACAAAGCAGTAGCTACTTCCCGTTTTGTGGAAATACGACAAGCTTATGAATATTGTATGTCTCATCTCGGCCCGGAAGAGGAAGAGGAAGAAGACTACGAGGATGATGATGATGCGGACTGGCGAGGCAAGCTTCCTGCCGGGATATTCGATGCGAACAGCGCATGGTGGGAAGGAATACAGGGCGATGAGCCCATGGTTATCTTGAAATGGGCCGAGGCTTGTGAGAACGCCCATCGCTTCGCTGCCGTGAAGCTCGATGAGGTGGAGCAACGTAAGCTCAATGTCAGTTATCTCAAGGCCTACGAAAACTTCGAATACTGGCGTCGTAAGCATATTGAAAGATATGACGAAGAGGACCGCATACAGCAGGATATCAATGCTCTTCCAGAGCGTCTTCAGGTCCACGTCCGCCGTTCTCTCGAAGCTAAACGAGCTGAGCAGGACTATTGTTATGAACAATACCAGGAAGATCACGACGAGGAACAGTACTTTTGGGAGCAAGAGGCCTTGGAAGATCCCGATTCCATACCTATGCCGACCGACACGTGGCGCTACCGTCACAATGCGGTAGAAAATAGCGCCACCCCCAAACAGCACCTCGTAAATTTCAGGATACAGTGCGCGGCAGTCGAGAAGCGCAACATAGAATGGAAGGAACAGGGCATTGAGTACTATCCTCAAGCGGAGATGGATCGCCGTACCAGGAGGCGCAAAGCCACGGAAGCTAGGCTTCTCGAGGATGTTGCGCGCGCTGAGAAGCAGGCACGCGAACTCAAGCTGATTCAAGATATCAACTCCGCGAAGCGTGTTGACCGCCTTGCCAAAGCAACTGCTACTGAGTTGATAGACGGTATCATACCCCAGTGCCTGGAAGATAGTCCCGAAGACGATGCTGTACCTCACAGCCTGGAAGACCGTGTTGAGGATGAGGGCGCATGATTCATCTTTCCCTTAATTTGTAAGCCATCGAATTTGGACATGGAGGCAGCTGGCTCTCTTCACTCTCACTCCAGCATTCATGACTATCTTCAAATGATCCCGAAGGAACCTTGAGAGCTCCAACCAGAAAGCATGGATCAGAAATTTTTGAATTCAGGTCTTGCTGCATTGCTTCAACTTTGTCTTTCCACCTTGTATTGCGTGTTCTACGTGCGCTTTGTATTCCTTTATCAAATACAGTCAAATTATCTTCGCAACATAATCTACCTGGCTATAGTCTACGGTGGAGTCAGTCCCCACGCTGCTGGCCTCATGTCAAACTCCGAAACCTCCGAAACCATCTCCGCCGCCTTCGATCCGTAACACTGCCCCACAACCCATAGCGAAGTATCGATACCCGAGCTAACTCCGCCAGCGGTCACAATGCGCACACCCGCCTCGGTAGTGCCCGCATCCGACCATCGTTGCCTCACAACGTTGATCTTCGAATCACCGCCCGCAGCTTCGTCAGCGAGCGTCTTCTGCAGGTCGAGCGACAGATGATGTGTTGTGACGGTGCGGCCTGCAAGTACCCCAGAAGCCGCCAGTATAAGGCCTCCAGTGCAAACTGATTGCAGGAATCTCTTGCCCGTCTCTTTCCTTGGCTTCGTGTTTGAAAATCGTCGAATGAGCTCAGCCAACTCTTTGCCCTCTTTGCTGCTGATGAGTTGCTTGATGGTTTCGTCGTGCGCGCCGGGAATGACCAGGATGTCGTATTCTTCAATGCGGCTGGACATTTCGGCGAAAGTAGCGTTCGGCAAGTAGACCATGGCTTTGGAGATGGACGTGACGGGGCTCTGATGGGCGAAGGTGGTTACTGAGAAAGGAGCTGGTTTACTCATGTCCATTTCCATGTCGTGGTAGTGGCAGTATATCTCGGCTGGACCTGAGAAATCCAGGAGGTCGCCATCTGGGTAAATGTAAATTGCGACTTTGAATTGAGACATTGTTGCGTTTGGTAATGAGTGAGTTTCTGGCTACATGATTTTAATGGCCTTGCTTTCCCTTTTTATAATCCACCGGCTCATCTCTAGTGTAGTGGTGTGCCTGATCTTTCGTAACACGATGTGCCCGGATCGGATGTAAGTTTGTGTCCGACTTCCGCGATCGTCAAAGACTCCGCTCCGTATGTTGTACCACGAGCGAGTATGCACTGATTACTGTAGCCTAATATCATCGTGCGATGTACGGTTGGTTTATTTTTTGCAGAGTCGTAGACCACATTTTAGTCATTCGTGCACGTGTCAACATCTGGTGCTGCTGATGTCTGCTACACAAACACAGTGAATGCGCATGACCACGTCGCATGCTGATCGCGCTCGGACACGATTGTGTCGAACGGAAGATGCCTATATCAATACAGCGCCCACTGAGAGATTGTGTAATCGATCGGAATGAACGCGGTTGAAATATCTGGAGATTGCTGCGGCATATGTGACAAACCTAGCACTGAATTCTGCATGCACTGCTTCAACATGCCCTACTGTTCCTCTGCCTGCCGTGTCGCAGATGCGGAGAAGCATACACCGCTATGCAGTACCTTGCAATACTTCGGACAGAGCGCTCGCCCGTCCTGGTTGTATTCTCGTTGTATCTTCTTCCCAGTTGACTACTCACAGCCACGTTTTGTTTGGCTGAAGTATTACGGGTTACCTTGCCAGCGGCACATTGACCGCGAAGACCTGAGATTGTTTGTAACTGATGTACCTTCCGGTGGGGACGCAACTTTTGACTGCTTCCGCGAAGGTAACAGGCAACTGCGTGATCGTATCACTGTTCGACATGACAGTAACGCTCTTGGTAACAAGCAACCGTACAACCAATGTGTAATGGCATTGCTTGGTCAGGTGGCTGGTGAGTATTGGAGAGGACCACTGTTGGCTCAGTCTTACAGGTATCGCGTTGATGACGACCTGCATCGATGGCCTACGGGGGATCGAACCGAGGCGAGTGAAGTTTTGATCCCCGTGGATCTCGATACTGCATCCCTGGCGCCGATTCTCTCATTCATGAAATGGAGGGCGACGTCCACGGATGACTATAACTTGACTATCGCTACGGAGGACGCGACGCTTAGAGCGACTATCGTAGGGAACGTTTCTCCAAAGAAAGCTTCACCGAAGAAGTCCTCACCAAAGAAGAAGAAGAAGTGAAATGCAGTTGGTGGTATATCGGTCGAGGCCGAGGATGAGGCCGAGGGCGTTATTAGCTGCAGGAATACACCTGCCGGCGGTTGGGCGAGGCCCTGAACTAGCCGTCGGTCAGGAAGAGAGTGGACTACTGTACCTGGAATGGACATGATAACCGTTTCTAATGGTGATGTTGCGCAGTAAACGTCGCCTACAGTGTGGGGCCTGACGATGTGAAGGTCACCCTGATAATTCGCACGTAAGCTGACACTAACACTCTCAAATGTGATCGTCCTACCTGTGATGTAAGATAGGCGATGTCTGTAATGTACGAGGCGACAAAGGCCAAAGATTTCTCGCGGAAGATAAGTGGCGAACCATTTATGTCGCTGTGACGAGGCTTGCAAATTGATAAGTGTGCCTACCTCGAAGATGTAACATCTTGGCTTAGCACATATAGCGGAGCCTGCAAGCCGATTGCATATCGAAGCAGCTTATCTAGGCGCTAGAAATGGTTCTAGATGATCCTCACCCGTTGTTATGGGTCGATAAGCCGTGGGTATCGTTGCAGTGAGGCCTCGCGTACCTAGAATTGCCTGGTCGATCCGCAAATGCATGCAGCCGGGACTTTCATGGTCCACCATCCAGGCAGACGGAACCCTTATGATTATAATTTTTTCGACAACAAGTAAGCCAACCATTGGTAAGAAGGTGCCTGTGATCAGCATTGACTTCATAGAGACGAAGTGATGCCGTGTCATCTCCGAGTGATCTTACCTGCCTCGTGTTGCAGTGGTGCGCATGCTGACACGATAACGAGCTTGGAAGTCTTCATCCTTCCCACATCCGAGTATTCTTGAGCCGACACTTACCCTATGGCCTTATCATGTTCCTCATCTTAGCATACGCGATGGCAGCAAGCGCCCAGACGCGCTGCGCCGCTGGCCAAGCTTCCATGCACACGCGACGAAGGCACCAAGGCTTCGCACTCCTCCACACAAACGTGGATGATGATTCCCCACAGTGTTCTGTTATCCGTGTCTGGTCCAATAGCGTGTCATGTCTCGAGTGGAGTGGTGTAACCATGGCTTGGCAAAACGCTGCCGGTCAACCGACCCTTGTTCGGCCAAGACAGGACGAGACGGAACTCGGAACGCAACTTTGCTTGTAACCTTCCATTTCGTTCGATAGTCACCAGCGCCGCCAACAGTTCCAAGGGTCGAGTTCCAATGCCTGGGGAGATAGTCTGCACTACTGTCGGGCTTCCTGTCGCGACCTAGACTCAGACATGGCGAATCGATGCCCGCGGATCCAAGTGGCTTGTTCTTGTGATAGGCCGTGGAGACTGGGGTCGGGCGTTGTCTGAAAGTACGGTAGCATCCCGAAGTATTGGTAACAGAATCGTTATCTCTTGGTTGCCACACAAGTGATTTGCAGATACCAAGGGGCGGGGTTCGTGTATAAGATGTCCTGGCTGTGCGTGACCGACTAAGCTGCCTGCTCGACTGCTGTTCCACCACTCTCTCGGAATCCGAAGAAGTCTTTCATTCTTTCCGTCTGCGCAAAATCTGCCAATCATGGGCGAAGCCGGAGAAGTAAAGCACGGCGAGGCTGCTGTTCGCACCACCTCGAGCCCGAACAGCACACCGTCAGAAGACATCATGCCACGGCCGACCGTCGCTGAGGAAGAGAAGAAGACGTTTGTGCAGAGAGTCATGACGCCAGGATCAGTATGGCAGATCATCATCGCCGCTCTTCTGGCCATTGCTATTGGTTTGGCAGTTACCACTACGGTAGACGAAGTACCAGATGCGGCCATCACGATACTTGCCATCCCAGGTAACCTTTGGTTGCGCGCATTGAGGGCAGTCGGTATGTTGCGATGAAACCCCTCTAGATGCGTGAGCTGATTATCGCAGTCCTTCCAATGATCGTCACCGCCATGATCCTGGCAATCCAACGTCTGCGCAATATGACACAGGGAGGAGGTGCAGCGGGTAAACTCGCTCGCTGGACAATTGGCTACTACGTCATCACCACCATCATCGCTGTCGCACACTCTGCCCTGCTAGTCGGCCTGGTCTGGAGTAAACTCATGAACCCAGTCTCAGGAAGTGCTCTGGATCTGGACGACGAGAACAAGGAGCTTGTGGACGAAAGGAAAGAAACTGCCATCCACGATGTCGTCGAAGACATGTTCTTCTCGTTGGTTCCCAACAACATCGTCAACGCCCTGGCGACCGATGCCCTCCTTTCGGTACTTGTCACGGCCGTCGTCCTTGGATATGTCATCAAGCCAGGAGGTGCGATTCATCGAGCCGTAGAAGAAGTCGAAGTTATCGTCCTCAAGGTCATCACAGTTTTGATCCACCTTGCGCCTATTGGAGTGTTCTTCTTGATCATGCCGAATCTGTTCCGTCTCGATATTGCTGAGATTGGGACGAACCTGGGTATTTTGATTGGCGGTACCTTGGTCGGCATGTTCATCCACCTTTTCATTGTAATTCCCATCATTTTCTTCGCGATCACCAGATCCAACCCGTACACGTTCTGGATGAAGATGAGTCCAGCATGGATTACCGCTTGGGGAACCGCCTCTAGCGCTGCGACCTTGCCTGTTACCATTCGCTGTGTTTTGAAGCAGGGTATTCCCATCACAGGTCAGTCTCCATGGTTATAAGTAGTCGATCGCGATCACTGACACACAGTTAGTAACCAAATTTGCCGTACCTCTCGGTTGTTTGATCAACATGGATGGTACTGCGATCTACTTCCCGATCGTCGTCGTATTTTTGGCCGCCACTCAAGGCATCACCCTGAACGCTGCCGATTACATCATTGTCATTCTTCTCTCGACTCTCGCTTCGATCGGAACCACACCTATTCCAAGTTCGAGTTTGGTCTTGGTTGTCATGATTGCTTCCAGTGTCAACATCCCAATCACCGGAATGTACGCCGTCGTCATCGCTATTGACTGGTTCCTCGACCGCTTCCGAACTGCAATGAACGTCAGTTGCGATACTTTCGCAGCCAAGGTGGTCACGCACATAACAGGGATCAAAGACGAAGATGGTCAGTCGTACGATGAGGCCGAGAATGTCGACCCGAACTCGCTCGGACGAACAGATGAGTCCAAAGTTTAGATGCTGTCTCCCCGGTTTAATATAGCGGTCTTGAAATCTCCGAATTCTTCCGAGCTCAATCTTAAGTAATGCAATCCTCTTTCGCTCATACTCAACAGCGTTCCTTCTCTTTGTGATCGTGAATCAAGCTACTCATTTCACGCGATCTGACGGCGTATTTCGTAAGGCCATCGCATCGACCAGCCATGTCGGCATGCCGCGTGACAAGCGGACCTCGGATTGCGCGACTTGGACGATCGGGTCAACAACACAATGAAAAGAATACGCAAAACCAAAGAGTATGTTGTGGAAAAGATGAGCAGTGCTGCAGAGCGTTTGCCGTATATGTCCTCGCTCCTGATATACGCGCGCACGAAGTCTGGAAATGTGGCCGGTCCGGAAAATTAGCCGGCTCGGAAACGTAGTCAGTCCGGAAAAATAGCCTGAAAATCCCCCCTGTGGATCTAGCAGTTGTTCAGGACCGCGTGGTGCTGTAGAGAGACAGCATTCGTGGGTGTTTTCGTGATGACACAGTCGAACACTTCGTCGTGGCGGTCGAGAAGCTGCGCTCCTCTTCGCGCCGAACCACGGGTCTTGGCGCGTTAGCTACTTTCGAACCCAGCCATCATTACGTCATGAACACGAGGCACAATTGAGATGCCCAGGTGTGCCTGCAACAGAAACGAACGCGTTCTAGTCGCGACTCTTAGGCGGAGTGGGTCTATTGAGTGTTGAGGAGATAACTGGCATGGAGGGATGGTCCATGTCGTCGCGTATGACGACGTTCTGGTCCAGCACCGTCCAAGGTACGTGTTCTGACCCCTATCAGTCTTTACTTCCTCATACGAGGGTTTGCATCATCTTATGTTTCGTTCGAACATTCTCGTACAGCTCAACGCTACGCGATAGTCAACTTTTCGTCTCTAGTCTATCACGCGACGTGGAAAGTCGCGTCGTTGCGCGCGTTGTATGGTATCGGCGACCCTGGTTGATGCACAACCCGTTCGCTTGCAGACCTGTCGCAACCTATACGAACAATATCCGGAGCAATGCACTTAAAAGCACGCGGTGTACATAGGAAGGCTTTCACGACAGCCTGGTGCCTCGCTGCTACAAGCATCTTCGCCCTTGCTGACCGCTCGCGCATCTGCCATGATGGCTGAAGAAATGATACGTAGCTCAGAGCGCCCATGGCAAACAGGACGCAACAAAGCTCATACTTGGACCGTTGCGCTATCCGCAACCAAGAGACCTTGCCAACCCGATCAATGGCATGGCAAGAGTGCCTCCGGGTTCAAAGGGTACTAGAGCCAGAGTGATAACTAATCCTCATGCTAGCAACAATTTACTTTGGCACGTTGCCTGGAGCTCCAAGAGATGCAAATTGCTGTGAGTAATGGCTACAGGCCCGTTCTTCCACGTACTCAGTTTGCCATACTTCTTGGTAGGTCTCCCCGGATACCAATGTTCTGGAAGATCTGGTTCATGTGCGGAAGCTTTAATTAGTCCATTTGCACCAATCAGCAGCCAGATCGGATGCTTGGCCATTGCGATCACAATATATCGCGGGGAAGACTAATGCGGAGTGCAAGATGATCTCGCGAGATGGCTCTCCGTGTCCAGAGTGGTATAGCGTCAAAATGCTCAGAAACCGAAACGGTACATATCTCTGCAATACGCGTAGAAAATGAGGAAGCACACTCAAGCAGAGAGACCGACCAAGATGTTCTACGGCCTTGCTTCGCTTTTACTGCTAGCTACTAGTACTTCGGCTGCAGTAGTTAGCAGGAAAGCACCCGCTGGCTTTGTCACAGCCAAAGGCAACGCCTTCAAACTAGACGGAAAAGATTTCTACTTCGCAGGCAGCAATGCCTACTACTTTCCCTTCAACGACGTAAGTATATGTCACTTCAGAGTTGCCACACTTACTGAAACTTCACAGCTCCAATCTGATATAGAGGCTGGCCTGGGTGCCGCTAAGAAGGCTGGACTCAACGTCTTCAGGACATGGGGCTTCAACGACCGGAACAGAACAACACTCGCGAACGGACTACCACAGTACGGTGGCGAAGGTGCCGGTCCCAGTCCAAACATCATGCAATGGTGGAGCAACGGAACACAGGAGATCAACCTAGTACCGTTCGACAAAGTCGTGAAGGCTGCGGAAAAAACTGGCATGAAGCTCATCGTTGCTTTGACGAACAATTGGGCCGACTATGGTGGCATGGATGTCTACACGACCAACCTCGGCTACAAGTACCATGACGATGTAAGTCACACAGTCTTTGCCTACATGATCATAGACTAACATAACCTTCGTTAGTTCTATCATGTCCCAGCCATCAAGAAGGCGTACAAGAAGTACGTCAAGGAGATCGTCAAGCGCTACGCCAAGTCTTCAGCCATTATGGCGTGGGAGTTGGCGAACGAACCACGATGCGGTGCTGATGGTGTGCGCAACTTGCCGCGCAGCGAGAACTGCTCCCCTGACATGATCACCGAATGGATCGATGAGATGAGCACATACGTCAAGTCACTCGACAAGGACCATCTTGTTACATGGGGTGGTGAAGGAGGGTTCAACAGGCCTAGTGACGATGGCTTCTACAATGGATACGATGGTGGCGACTACGACAAGGAGTTGGCGCTCAAGAACATCGACTTTGGTACCTTTCATACCTATCCCGATTGTACGTATATTTCATTCGACAGGCATCAACACTATCATTCTTTGAGCAACACTGATTAGACTTGCGATAGGGTGGTCCAAGAGCGTCGAATGGGCAAACCAATGGATCATCGATCACGCCGAAGCCTCCCGTGCTGTTGGAAAGCCAGGCGTACACGAAGAGTATGGATGGCTGACCGACGACAAGAGGCAAGAATACCTCAGCAAGACCTCGAATGTCACAAGACTTGAAGCCATCGGACTATGGCAGGCCACCAGCCTGAAGGAGAAGATGCCGGATATGTACTGGCAATTTGGCTACTCCGGCTACTCCTATGGAAGCAATCACGACGACGGATTTACGATCTTTCTGGAGGATGCGGAGGCCAAACAGCTTGTTTACGAGCATGCGAAGAAGGTCAATGCTTTGAACAAGAAGTGAGATGTTGCACTGTTTGGTTTGGCTCGCGCTTGTCTCGCAGCAAACACTTAGTGCCGTATGCACTAGAGCTCTATCTTCCTGCAAAAAGCGTATGTTTGTCCGGTAATGCGTCAGAACTGAGTGGTGTCTTTATGCAAATTGGTTCGGTTTGCGGAGTGTTCCCACAATGTATATAGTCGAATTCTTTCACTTCCTCCCCACGCCACCCATTATTTCGTTCGACATCGTGCGCTGAAAATGGTACAGCAACATACTTCATTGTTTCGAACTACACCAACGTGTTTCTTCGATCCTGCCAAGACGATTAGGTTGCACTCCCCTTCCGTCCGACTACACCACACTAGCTTCCGCTACTACAGCCGCCTGAATCTACACTGTCCTAGGCCTATTATTTTACACCTATTCTCAGGCCATCTCACACACAACCTCAAGTCAGCCACCCGATTCTGTCGACGATGTGCGGCTTCACATGCATTACATACAGCGAGTGCGCCCACACCGCGCTCTCAACGAAGCCCGAGCACACCTCTCTTTGCTTTAACGCGAAAGAATTACATTTGGTCCAAGGCGTCGACTGTGCACCTGCGAACTGTGTCCCGACTGATGACACAGAAACCCCGATTGCCGCTGAGAATACTGTCTTTGATTACTGCGATGACTGCCGAGCCGAAGCACGCGCTGCTAAACCGATTGAGCGCGGCGAAATGGACGACATCGTCCAGGCTCATGCGCACGTAAAAGATGGGGACCTAGGCGTTTATGATGAAGACGAGAATGAGCAGCTGCAAGATTTAGCCACCTACCTCGATACAAAGCATGCTGTTGGCCTGGAGATTGTCCCACAGCTCAAAGCTTTACCATCAAATCCGCTTGCGCTCTCGCATATCACAGACCCCGAGCTTCGCGCCCTTCTGTGTGCACCAGACGTGGAAAAACACTTCACTACTTTCAATTACTGCTCAGAACTCTTTCCAGTCATGGGCAGCTACATCCAACAGCTCGCTCCAAACAAGGTGTTCGTAGAGACATTCGTGTACCTGCGCGACAAGGCGAAGAAAGCAACGACATTACTAGAGTGTTTCCAAATCGTTCTCGAGTGCGTCCTCAACTATGAGCCCTCCCGACCGGAAGAACACTTCAACGGTAGCGAAGCCCGATTGGAGTTCTTTGGCGATATGCTCAAGTGTATGATCACCGATAGGGATCTTGAAGTCCCTCCGATCGCCTTCCATTTCCATGAGAACAGTTTCGCAGTTCCCGACGCCACCCTTCAGCAGCTTGAAGCGGATCAAGACGTGTCGCAAGCTTATACAGAGAAACAGGAGGAGAACTCGCAGACGAAACCATCGCGGAAGGAGCGTGGCATCCTGAACATACATCACCTGGCGTTTGATCCGGAGTCACTGAAAGGACTACTAGATGACGAACCGTCCCGTGACATCGAGGCAGTACATGTCGCGTTTTTGGAAGATGAGAATGCTGTGGGTATAGACGTGGAGGACGAGCAGGGTAACAAGCTCGTTTGGAGAGATGGCAAGTCGCATATCATCTTCGCTGTTACCAAAGCTGAAGACAAGACTGCTGTCAAAGAGATGAACGAGCAACCGACAAAGCCTAAAGATGAGCTTCAGACTGAGCCAACGAAGACGCCAAACCAAATAAAGGGCGGCTTTGGTTTCTATTACTCAGATGAAGAAGATGATACACTCGTTCAGACTGAAGAGGAAACTAAGGGTATTGCGGTCGAGGACAAGGACATCTCTTCAGACCCGTCTCCTTACCTATGCATACCCTCCTCCCCACCCGTATCGGTCGCAGAGTGTTCATTCCAGTCTCCTTCATCCAGTACGTCTAATCCATCCTCACCATCCCTTCCAGCTCTTCCGAACAAACGCGAGAACGAAAGCGCGGAAGCAAGTCAACCCAACAGTGGCTCCTCCTCACCATCGTCTCGTAAGCGCAAGTCGTTATCGAGCGAGTCAAGCGAAGACAACAAAGGCATCAGCAGTGACGAGGAAGAAGACAAACAACACTCCGACCCTCCCATGAAGCGAAGCTGCAGGACCACTCTATCATCCGACTCTTCCTCTCGATCTGCAACGCCAATAGAGAAGTTGCGCAATTCCCCATCAGCACCAGCCTCACCTTTAGCGGACCTACCTCCTCTCCCAGCTTCACCTGCATCTCCAGATAGTTTGTCGTTATCTTCTGAATCGTCTTATGTGGACTCCGCATCATCACCTCAGTCGCCTCCTGCACCCCTTCCGCCGCAGCCAACGACGCCACAGCACCGCATGCAGACGCGTGCTATGACACGCAGTGCAAGTACCACGCCACCGCCTCCGGATGCGGCATCTACGAGAGCAACGCGTTGATCGGGGAAGTGATAGGAAGAACGTCGTCAGTATAGAAGACAGAGGGGGCTGATGAGATGGATGAGACTGTGAGAGAAGAGGGGAATGAGAGAGAACAAGGCCAGATCTCAGGAAACTGCATGAGAGTCATTCGAGCGGCTTGGAGTATCGTGAATCAGTGTTGTTGTACAGGCTTCCGTCGACAGTTATCGTGTGTTTTGTTACGACTAGTTTCAAGACTATTTCATCCCTTTAGTCAACAAGAGTTTCCAAATATGTAGGCGCGGAAGTTGTGACAAAATTAACGACTTCGTATTCAAGAAGAACGGAAAAGCTTTCGTGGGTATCAAACGACTCACTACGCCCCGACTAAACCATGCGCATGTATTAGATATGGTGCCGCATGCTCCATAATGACAAGTGTACGCAAGCGCGACGAAACACGATACACGTTGCAGACGTAGCTCATTCAGAGTCGTCACCTCCGCTGTCGCCGCTCTTATCATCCTCCTCGTCTTCCGACTCGCCCTGGACATCGTCGTCATCATCGTCATCGTCATCGTCGTTATCATCGCCGCCAGCCACTTCCTCGCTGTCATCTTCCAATACAACCTTCTGCTGTGGTACAGGTTTTGCTGCTGCCCTTCGGCTGGGACGACCCGTAGCTGTGACTTCGCTTGCCTTTCCCCATGCCGCCTCACCCTCCTTTATTGCCTCGAGATCTTTCGCAAACTCCCTCTGCTCCTTGATCTTGGCTGCCTTTTCAACGGAGTATTTGCCATCCATGCCCACGTCCTTCAGCCAGCCCTTCAGCACGCGGATCTTATCCTTCGACGTGTCGCACTGGGAGAGCTCAGGGTCGCGCGACCAGACTTTTCGGATGCCGCACTTCACGAGCCAGCCTTGGAGTCGCTTGACTTCGGCGGTGTCGGGATCGTCCTCGGTCTTCGCTTTGGGCGCGGCTTTCGGTTTCGGTGGGGCTTTTTCTTTCTTGCCCTTCGCTGCAGGGGCATTCTTCTTCTTCTTGGGCTCTTCGTCTATGACGCTGGACAGATCACTGTCAGATACGTCGCCCTTTGTGTCTGCCTTTTTCGCTGGCTCAGGCTCGTCATCGCTCTCATCGTCGACCGCGGCACCGGGTCTGGACGTCGGCTTCGGCGAGTCCTCCTCATCCGAGTCTTCTGCCACAGTCTTTTTCCCCCGTCGTACTAACTTCTTGGGTGGCTCGCTCTCTGCGTCAGATATCTCGGCGGGTGGTTCTGAGAGCTCAGCTTCAGATTCTTCGGACTCAGTCTTCGCGCGCTTCTTGGGTTTCTTGGCAGGTGTCGCAGCCTTGCGCTTGACGCCGCGGGCATTGTCGGTAGCAGCTTTGGTCTTCTTTTCGGTGGGCTTCGCTTTGGGTTTGGGGGCGGCTTTTTTGGGAGTAGGCTGTGGTGAGGGCTCATCGGAGCAGAACTTCTCCTACATATCCTTAGTACCTGGCCAGGAATTGGAAGTCAGGCTTCATACCACTGCGTCTACAATGACTTTCTGTGATTTCTCTTTCCATGTCGAGTCTGTCTTGAAGAAGCCCTCGTCTAGGGCTAGTTCCTTCTCTGCGCGCGCCCGAACGCGCTTCACAGTCAGATCCTCGCTTTTTCCAGATTTGTGTATGGCGATGACAATGTCGCGCAGTTTGTTTGAAATGTTCGCCTCAGAGGGCCGGGCTGCTTCGGAATCCGACATGATGCGCAGCGCGTTCGTAGATGGTGTTGATGATCGACGGCCGTACGCGATAGACGCGGCGGTTAGGGCAGGCACGTCGCCGGTAGCGTACACGTGACTCCGCGGAGAGACCCAATGGCGTCAAGTGGCATCAGGGCCTGCGGGGAATTTGTCGTGTCGAGCCACGGCGATGTCAGTGTATCAGTTGAATCCCATTCCTTCCTGCTGATTGCATGAATCGCATGGTATTGCCAATGCAGATGCCCATAGATGATGCTGGGCGCAGCCCTTCGACGTCGAGTTGGTCTGTGAGCGCCCCGCGTCTGCTGGGTTGGGCAGCTCCACGACCGACGTCACATTTATTCCCAAGTTTCACACAGACACCGCCAGCTTCATTCAGTGTTTTCCAACACGGCCTACACCTGTCAGCGACCGAGCTGCATGCCGCCAGTCCCGACCGCCTCTAGCCCCAGTCATCTTTAACTTTAGCATCTGCCCGGGTTGTAACTGCGCCCTGCCGTCTGCCAACTCTGGACGCTTGAGCTCGGAACCTGCGAGAAGCCGCCTCCACCTTCGAGCGGGCCTTGATCTATTATCATTCTTTCGTCACGCCAGCACCACAATTAAAATAACTGATCCCTCCCCCCTCGCGCCAAAGGAAACCTACCCACACCGCCTGCTCACCGGCCCCAGCCACGTTGCGGAGGTGAATGCTGACCTCGCCCAACACCCTACGCCGCAGATAAATTTCCTGTCAGGAGTTTCGCGACTCAACCACCTTACAACCCCCACTATCCAACATACCCACCGCCAAGATGTCTAACGCGCCCACAACCCTCAAGCAGCCCGAGTCGTCGGAGGGACGTCTGCTGCTCGTGTCGAATCGACTGCCCATCACCATCAAGCGCTCCGATGAGGGCAAGTACGACATGTCCATGTCCTCGGGAGGACTGGTCAGCGGTTTGAGCGGACTCTCCAAGACTACCACCTTCCAGTGGTATGGCTGGCCCGGACTTGAAGTCCCCGAGGACGAGACAAAGACCTTGAACGACCAGCTCAAGGAGAAATACAACGCGGTACCGGTCATGCTTGACGATGAGCTCGCGGACAGGCATTACAACGGATTCTCAAGTGAGATTACCCATATAGAACCATATCGCTGCAAACACTAACAATTGCACAGACGAGATCATGTGGCCGCTCTTCCATTACCACCCCGGTGAGATTACCTTCGACGAGTCCGCTTGGGACGCCTACACCGAGGCCAACCGCCTGTTCGCAAAGGCCGTCGCAAAGGACGTACAAGACAACGACATGGTCTGGGTGCACGATTACCACCTGATGCTCATGCCCGCCATGTTGCGCGAAGAGCTCGGCAACACGAAGAAGAATGTCAAGATCGGCTTCTTCCTGCACACACCCTTCCCCAGTTCCGAGATTTACCGAATCCTCCCCGTCCGCAATGAGATCCTGCTCGGCGTTCTCCACTGCGACCTCATTGGCTTCCACACATACGACTATGCTCGTCATTTCCTGAGCAGTTGCTCGCGCATTCTGTAGGTATCAACCTAAGGGCAGACTTCGCACTTACTAACTCAGACCAGGGGACTTGCCACAACACCAAACGGAGTCGAGTTCAAGGGCAAGGTCGTTACTGTCGGCGCTTTCCCCATCGGTATCGATCCCGAGAAGTTCGACGAGGGTCTCCAGAAGCCCAAGGTACAAGAGCGGATAGCAGCCCTCGAGAAGAAGTTCCAGGGTGTGAAGCTCATCGTTGGTGTTGATCGCCTCGACTACATCAAGGGTGTACCACAGAAGCTGCACGCTCTCGAGGTGTTCCTCACAGAGCATCCCGAATGGATCGGCAAGGTCGTGCTTGTACAAGTCGCCGTTCCTTCTCGGCAAGACGTCGAGGAGTACCAGAACCTCCGCGCAGTCGTCAATGAGCTTGTTGGTCGCATCAATGGCAAGTTCGGCACTATCGAGTTCATGCCTATCCACTTCATGCACAAGTCGGTCTCTTTCGACGAGCTTATTGCGCTCTACGCTGTCTCGGATGTCTGTCTTGTATCTTCGACACGCGACGGTATGAACCTGGTGTCCTACGAGTACATCGCGACACAGGAGAAGCGACACGGTGTCATGATCTTGTCCGAGTTCACTGGTGCTGCACAGAGCTTGAACGGCAGTCTCATCGTCAACCCATGGAACACCGAGGAGTTGGCGGATGCTATCCACGACGCAGTCACCATGGGCGATGAGCAGCGCAGTCTAAACTACCAGAAGCTGTCAAAATACGTCCGGAAATACACTAGGTAAGTACCCACAATCACATCTCAACCGACACGTTCTAACTTCCCATAGCGCATGGTGGGGCGAGTCGTTTGTCACCGAACTTAGAAGGATCTCGGAGACGCCAGACCGCAAAGTACACTTCGCTAACGCTCCGGTCGCGGGAGTTGATGACGCTACAAAGACTACTGGTGAGACGAGCTCAGAGCTACCGATCCGCCAGGAGACCGGCAACAAGGACAAAGAGTCAGACCCAGCCGCTGCTATCGATGCTCAAAAGGAGACTACCGACGGCGCATCTAGCCAATAGGCCCTGTGTCCTGAGGTGAGCACCTCTGATTGTTACGACGGATGATTTCATGTAACGAAAGTTCGGCGTGATGGATTCGCCTGGGTTAGACGATTGATGAAGGTTCCAATTCTCACAGTACTCCCTCAATTACTAGATCTTCTTACCTAGAAGCTGTAGTGGAAACATCACTGCAGCAACAATATACCCCCTCTACACACGACCTTGCTCTTTGTACTCTGATCGTGACTGTTTTTTTTTTCGCAGGTGAGTTTGTACCTTCGTGAGAACCGAGTATGCGAGAGCGTGGGATGTTCCTGCCTCCGAAAGTCCCTGCCAAGCCATTAGTGCGTCATCGTGCGCTTTCGCAAACCTCACACCCAATTTCGCGTCTTCTACCCCCAACCCCCATCACCCCGACGAGAAGACTTCCACCGGCAAGTTCGGAAACGATTGGTAACGAGTTTGATTTTACGCGTCAATACGAATCAGTCTCTGATGTTGACGCACAAAACACGATCATAAGATACTACAATGGAGCAACCCTCGTGTTTTATTAGGAGTCTGACTACCTGTGTGTAGCACTAACATGAGCAGATCCCGGCAGTCGAAGTACTCAGCACCTTCTGTCTACCACTCAATTATAGCACCAGAAAACTCAAGCTCCACAAAGTCGACGAAAGTGAGCGTACGTGTGCGGCTGCTGCACTAGCTCCGAAGAAACGCCAGACGCTCCTTCCAAATAGTACCAGTCCCCTCAAATACCGACATTCACTGCCATCACAAACGCCAAGTCACCGCATGCGCTACCATCATTACTTCTGCTTGAACATCGCTGCCTCCCATCCGTACGCACGCGCTAGTCGACGTCCGTAGCGTCTGGCCAGAGTCAATGGCACTTCACCGCTCGGATGCGGCTCATGGAACTGGATTCCGCGTGGTAAGTTCAGCTTCTTCGGTGTGAATTGCCATGCAGATCCGTGTAGCTTCTCGACGGCGAATCCAAGCTTGGCAAGCGTGGCTACGACTTGATCCCAGCGGACTTTACCCGGGGGTTCGCTGTCGTTTGGCACATGAAAAAGTGCTTTGATCACGATATAGGCGTCCTTGCCGACGTGGTACAACGGTTTCGAAATGGCAGCCGATCGCTCAAGTACATCCTCATCGGCATCCTGGGCTATGGCTGTCATCTCGCCGTGCGTCTTCGCTTTGGTTCTATCATTGACATCGAGGCGATTGAAATTCCCAGTGATCTCTTTGGTTGGGTCGTGGAAGATCTCGGATGTGGCCTGATACTCGTACACAGGAGACGGTGTTGATGCCGTGTCAAGATCTTCGGAGTCACTCCACGGAGCCGTTCTTAGCATCGGGCCACCTTTGTCCAAGAGTCTGCGAATGGTATCGTGTTGAGAATATCCTGTACGCTTGCGAAAAGCATTGTCGATGTACCTCCAAAACTTGTCCAGGTTGCGTTCCGCTTTTCGACGCGCCCCCACCGTCTGCTTTGTTCGGACGCTCTCACTCGGATAATCGAACCTGCCATTGGATGGATTACCAAGATCTGGGGCAATGACACCTCCATCGTCTAGAACCTTTCTCCAGCGCGCCAAAGGTTGCATAAATTTGAGATACCACTTGGCGTACATGGGGCTCTTTCGCCCACGATCGAACTGATTCCTTAAATTGACGTAGCAGGAAGACACTCGCAGTTGATGAAGACACTCAACGCACACTGAAAGCGTATTCAGGTAGTCCTCTATGAATGGCGAGACTTTCTCTTTGGCGGAAGGCTCTCGCCTAAAGTACGTTTCAAGGCAATCTAGATTGAGATGGGTGTAGTCGGCGATCTGAGTGAAGGCGGTCGTCCGGGTCAAGAGCTTCCTCACGCGCTGTCCGATGATATCGTTACTTTCCACTTCTGTGGTTCTGTAATCAGATTCACCTTCGAGCACCTTGTCGCATCCTGCTGGTATGGTAACTCTCATCATAAGATGGCGTAACTGTGGTGCACCCATCAAGAAGTGCCTAATGAGACCCGCGGCGTCGTAACTACCTAGACTCAACATGTAGTACAACATCTCCACACTATCCGCATAGCGCTTGACAAGCTCTTCGCTTGCTTCCACCTGCAAAGCCAGTGTGTGAAGAACTTCGACTTCGCTTGAAAGTCGGTAAAGCTGATCCCAGAAGACCAGGCCCGCGTACGCCTTGTTCAATGTCTCACGGAGAACCAGGGAGTAGAACTCGCTTGTTCCAAGTCTCTTCGATGGTTCTCCGGCTTCGTTCAGTATATTCTCATGTCGATGTTCGGCGTGATCTTGAACATATTCTGCGAAATACGCAGGGTCTTCGCGCAACGCCCAGGCATGGTCCTCGCACTTTTCCACTGCTGTCGAGATAAGGTGCCGGATACGTGCAAAGTTTGGCTCGCCTCACGGACCAAATGGCGCCTTTCTGCATGCATCTGCAAGACTACTGCTCAGCTCTTCCGGATCTGACAAGCTCGGCGGTTCTGATAAAAGCGGATAATCGTCGCTGCACAGCGTCTCTGGAAGAATGTCATGCATGATGTTTTCGCAGCAGCCGACAAGGAACCTTAGTACGCCTTCCTGGATGCGGAGTATCTGGAGGCCCTCTCCTAGGGGATTCAAAGAATGCATCGCCTGATCTTCAGGGACAGCGTGGGGTTCGGACTCAAGCCCTTTGATTCGGCCATACATCTCTTCCTTGACTTCCTGTGTCTTTGAGTCTTGGTCCGAGAGATTTATGAGGACATGCGGATAGCGGGTAGCCTGGCATGGGACGGCCATGCCAGAGAAGCTGAGTTCCGATTCAGCAAACGTAGCAGGACGATTGCGCGCCCGGGCGTTGATGAACACAAGCAAGGACTTGGCGTCCGACAAGTCTTCTGAATTGATATAAGGTCTGAGCTCGCTGCTGGTTGCCACATGGTTTGGTTCTCCGCAAGCACGATCAGTGAAATTGCCATGCATATTGTCGACATCCGGTCGGTGCAGGTCGGGCATTCCGGGGAAGACTACTTGAAATAGTTCTCGACGCTTCGCCGCAGACTTCTTTCTCCATCGAATCCGTATGGCGCCTTCGTGTCGCTGCACAATTGCGTTCAGACGGTGCCAGTGCGTGAAGATGTTGCGGCTCAGCGCGGCAGCTGTATCAAGTACTAACTCCGGTGGCAGGTCAGGCTCCGCGTCGTTGTCCTTCCGCAGGATCTCGAGGATGGTATCAACATCGTCCATCTTGCCAATTCTATGAGTATGTCAGTATTTTGCGCGATCGAAAGAGGTCAACACATACATCGATGCTTTACTGGTCTGGATGTAGTTGATAGCACTGGATCAGTCCAGCGACTGCTGTTCGATCGTGACCAAGGAAAGATATTCACGCCAATGTTTGCGGTGGAGCGTCGGGTGTGTAAAATTGAGGTAGTGTGGTGTTTAGGCAAACAACAAGCTCTTGGCGCTATGACCGCCGATGGCTCTCGAGAGCAGAGAGCGCGTCACGTGTTGGCAGACAAGACTCTCATGCGACCGATCCGCATATCCTACTCCAAATTCCGATCACAGCCATGCTCATACATCTACCTGATGAGATGGATCATGTCTTTCTTTGCGATCCACTACCTTTCCCTTCGCTTCTTTGATCTCACTGGCATCTCTCACCACGCGCATGCTTGACAACTGAATCGCTCATATCAGGTGTGCGCTTAAGCACTCTTCTCTTATATTTGGCAGTCACAAAAGCTAGTCGGAACTCAGCCAGACGTTCTTTCCAGTTGCGTGCGACTGCGCGCGCACGAGCTGGGCACACACAATTTGCAAAATCGATCATCTTAAGAGCTGTACTACCATCTCTTGGATACCGTGCTCACTTCAAAAGGCTTTCTTGCTGCAGCATGATTCACGTACTTTCTATCAATGTGTAGAATTTGTGGGCATAGTATGAATTGTGGAAGTGATGAGTGACAAATTGTGATCATCATGCGTCATAACAATACCCTTAGCCATAATCCATCTGGATTGGCAGCATTTCACAGAACCTCGATTGAGCTATACAAGTAACATAGACAACATAATGAAGTGCCTAACGGCTCTCACTACCTCACCTGCCGCCACACCTGCCAAGTGAAAGGCGCGCTCTTTCTCCCCCGGTCCTGCACCCACCTTTATCTAGCATTATCCGCTCTCTCTACTGACCTTCTGCACCACCCATCCACTATCTCCACATCTCCACTATGAAGTACCTCAGTATCATCATCATCACAAGCCTTACCGCAACCGCCCTCGGCTCCGCCGTACCTTATGGTGTACCCCCCGACTGCACTCATCATAACAACGGCGCCTGCGTCTCCTCGCCCGCACAGTGCACAGAAGGCGAACTACAATGTCTGACCACCCTCAACAACGGCTACGACGGCATAAACATTTGCGAGCACGGAAAGTGGGAGGCACGCGACACATGTCGCTGCACCGATAAGCCATCACCTCAGTGCATCGACGCTACGCTTTCTTCTCGCGACAACACCCTGAGCCGCCGTTGCGAGGAAGGCGTGCCAAAGTGTATGTTACGGGAGCATGATAGGAATGGAGGCGTGCTCTTCAGGTGCAAGAACGGGTTCTGGAAAACGGTTATGCGGTGTCGGCCTTCTGAGCGTTGTCATGATGGGGAGCTGGCTACTTGTTCGTGGCTTGGTGCAGCTTAGGGGAATGGATAGGGGAGGTGTTTTGCTGAGGTCGTTGCTGAGCCCGGAGAGCTGGGTAGTACTATGATCTCGGAACTCATAGCCATGGGTAGGATACAACCAGATGGGAAGAATTGCCGCTTTATCACTTTGTTGTATTCTTAAGACTCTACTATCAACAGGAATGGAAGAATGCTATCGCCATGTCAAGGTATCGCTACATCCCGCTTCTCTTCAAACGCCGTCAACACCTACTTATTATGTACAACCCACCATCTACATGTTCGCCAACAAGTACTTCAAACCAGCCCACATCTCTTCACCACTGGGCAAGATCTGCGCAGCGGGCAGGACGAATCCGTAGTTGCCGGTATCCCTCAACTCAACCGTCATGGAATAGTTTGCCTTGGCAACCTCGAAAGCGTAGTCCACAGAGTCGCCGCTGACCTGGTAAATAGTGTTGCAGATAGGGCCACCTGTGAACGTAATTCCGTGCACAGCCTTGACAGCGGCGATGGCGCCCTTGGTAAGGGAAGCATACTTCGAGGAGTTGGGGACGACGCCGGAGCATGTGTATCCGTAAGGGTACATCCAAAGCTGGCTGTATGCGTGGATGTCCATGTACAGCGCGATTCCGCGGCCAGCGGCTAGGCTGTCAAGTTGGGCCTTGAGGAGCTTAGTCTCTACACCATCGCCTGCAGAGGGGCCCTTGTAATCTTGAGCGCAGGGAGAGGTTGATGCGCCTTGGGGTAGGTCCCAGTGGGAAGGCCAGTTACGGTTGATGTCGCGGCCTACGCAAGACGCTGAGGGAGTGGTCTGGCGGTTCTTGCGCCACAGACGGTCGGCTGACTGGGTGTAGGCGAAGCCATCTGGGTTCACGATGGGGAAGATGTAGAAATCGTACGAGTTCTTGAATCCAGCCGTGGTGGAGTCGGTGGATGTGAGGAGCTGGTACGCAGCGTATTCAACTACCATTGTTGTGATCCATTCACGTGCGTGGACTGTACCGTGCCAGACTACCGCTCTTTTCGATCCTTTGCCGCCGTTACCCCAGATATGGATGCCCTTGATGTCGCGGCCTTCGACTGATTTGCCAGCGGAGACTACTTCGGCGTTCTTTGGGTACGCTGCGGCAAGGTCCGTGATCCATTGCATGTGGTCGGCAATAGAGTGGTAGGCGTTGAACCAAGAGGCGCTTGGTGCTGCACCGGCTGGAGTATACGTTAGAATGGAAACAAAAGTTTGCAAGTTCCCCACGACAATGTAGACTTCTGTGGTATTTTTCTTGCATTAAATGGAGTAAGCTTACCGGCATATATGCTGACAGTTTGCTCGTCTGCGATAGAACGACCAAGGTTGTCATGCATGACCTTGGTCTGTCAAGTTGTTAGCGCCAAGATAAATTCGTAGCTAGGAGGCGATATACTGTCAAGAAGTTAGCTAATCATCCTAAAAAGTACTCGTGGCGGCTATTTACCCTCTATATCCTTCGTAGACGCCTCGAAGTCCTTGACTGCCGAAGGCGGCACCATAACGTCGACCACATCACTGGATGTTGGCTTGCCCTTCCACAACTCAAGGGATAGCTTGCTCATAACATCGTCGATTTTGCCAGCGTTGGCACCGACATTGACGCGGTACACCTTCCAGTCATCGTAGTTGATCTTCTTTGTGTTGACGGTGGCCGCAGACGCTAGGCCTAAGGAGGCAAGGGTGACGTGAAGGAGCTTCATTGCTACCAAAGACAGCAGTAAAGATGAAGGAAGAGAAGCGTAAAGACTCTGAGAAAAGGTGCCAGCGATGCTATATAGCTAGATAAGTGATATCACACCTAGTTAGTATCTTCCGTGTAACCATTCGTTGAAGGCGAACCTTGGCGTTTGATTGCTTGATCTTGGCGTTTGTGTACCTACTGGTTTAGGCAGTTCGCTGGCTATGGCCCCTGCTGATCCCGTCTAGGCGCATGATGCTTGGGTCGCCTTCGAGCTTATCGTGGCCTTGGGATATTAATTACATGCCTTTTGCTCGGAGTGTACCATGTTCGTGGAATCAGCTTCCTGGGCGAGCGTTTGCCCCGTGGGAGGTTAATGCCAGTGGGGCAGGTGGGCTGCGGGGGCACCATTACCACTGCGTTTTGGTCGCAGGGCTTGACATCTGGAAGTCTACGTTAGCATGAAAACGAGAGTTAGCAACAGCCTGAGGTGATGTAAGCTTCGAGGTCGTTTCTATCATCATCCGTAAGAGGTATGTGTTGAGCGAATTCCTTGACTGGGGTGGTCATGCATTGGTATTTGCATGATCTTTCCCATCTTGAGTTAAGCAGACTGCTAGTGACGGGGTCGGCGCGAATCTGGGGATCTTGACGACCTTCCGCATCTGCATTGGAGGAGCCGGGGCTAGCTGTTTAGTGTCGGCATCGGGCAAAGGTCGAGCGGTCATTTGATGTTGCATTGGATCGACTCCGCATCATCGTTGTGTATCCAGCCAACGCCGGGCATGTGATGTGTAACAGGATGAAGGAATGCGGCAGGAAGCCGCGAGCTTCCCGAGGTCTGCTGTGGGGTGGGTTCACGTGATGTCTTGGCGGACCCCTAAGGAACATCGAAAGCACCTCTCACGCAGCCAGACTTCTTCCACCAGCTCAAACGGGCACTTATGGAAATGCTGACAATGAGTTTTTTCTATATGCAGAAATTTGTAGTGGTAAAACGGCAAGACGCCTGTACGCGCTGTAAGAAGATGACATCATGGGCGAATCGCTACGACCCTCATCGTAATCAATCGCTAAACAACGCAAGAGTGAACCGTGGTAGAGCCAGTGTGAGAACCGAAAAATCTTTTTTGCCATTCGCCATACTTACATCTCTTTCACACAATCCTCTGCCCATTTTCCTCACACATCTTCACTACTAACAATCTCGCCTCCTCGCCATGATATCGTTACTAATTCACGCCGCTTGCGCATATCCGTTAATCGCAACTGTTGTATCATATATGAAGACACTAGCTTCGTACGAGTACAGCGGAAAGATATTCCACACTGTTTACCTCTTGGTGGTACTGCCCCTGTGGGCTTCGCATTGCCACCTCCCCCTCGTAGACTGGATAATCGGGGAAAGACAAGAACGAGTAGAGACGGAGTTGGAATACAAAATCACATGGTGGTTGATACACATTGTTTTATGTTGGATTGAGATCAGTCCAATCATACTGTACATGTATACAGGCACCGGGTCTAAGTCAGGTGTCGGATGGACTGGCTGACCTCTTGTCGAACTCAAGCGGCTGCGGAACGGCATTAGTGCTTTCCGACAGCATTCCCGTATAGTCGACCCTTTACTCCCTCTTCAGTCCGACCTTACCCGCCTTCCTCAGCCCCACGACAGCGATCATCATACAAACGACCATATACCCGAACATAAGCCAATAGCTCGCCCTATACCCCTTCAAGACAGCAACATCATCCTGGCCCTCAAACGCCCCGCCACCATCACCATCACCATGGCCACCAGTACCCGCACTTCCGCTCTTGACCTGCACCCCCAGCGCAACAACCTGGCAACTACCCATACCCAAACTCATACCAAACTGCGCAACAGTATTGAACACAGCACCAGCCAGCGCCTGCGTCTTCTCCGGGAAGTTGTCACTTACGATTATGAGACCGACGGTGAACAAGACATCTGCACTGAACGGCGCGAACATCTGGGCCCAGAAAGCGAGTTTCCAGTAGCTCCATGTTGGCGGCACGAGGGCCATGAGGAGGGGTGAGATGGCGCAGATTAAGGCGGAGCCGGCGACGAGCCAGCGGGCAGGAATGCGGTGGACGAATAGGCCGACGGATATCTGGATTAGGACGCCGGCTAGGAGGTTGGGAAGGAGGTAGAGGGATGTTGCTAGCATGGAGGCGTGCTGGACTTCTTGGAAACTGGACTTGGGTTAGCTCTGGACTTTTGCCATTTTACGCAGCAAGATGGTGGATGATGTTGGAGGATACGTACTACAGGCTTGAGAAGAGTTCAATGGAGTTCATGACCCCGTAAGAGAGTGCGACCATGATGCATGTGCTGGTAAAGGGGAGACTGTTCCACAGCTTGTTCGGTACGAGGGCTGTTTTTCCACGTCGCTCGCGGTAGTGCATCCAGGCTGGAAAGGCGCAGAGAAGGATGATACTGATAGTGAGAAGCGAGGCTGTCTCGGCTGAGCGAATGCTTGTCAGGTCGGCGCTGATGATACTACATGCTGTCAGCTTTATTGGAATCAGACGATGAAGAGAAAACACATACGCAAGGACATATGCGAGGATAGCCAGTCCACCACTAGATATCATACCACCAACCCAATCAATCTCCCTACCAACCTTCTTCCAAAGCGCAACCACACCATCCTGATTCTGGGAAGGAAGTTTAGGCAGCGTCCAGATCGCAGCGACAGCGACCGCCAACGTACACCCTCCAGTCACGTAGAACCCCAACCGCCATCCCGCTCTTTCAATCATAACACCACTCAACACCAGCCCAACAGCAAACCCAAGCGGCTGGCTGAACCCCAAACACGCAAACCCAAGATTTCTCGCTCTTCCAGATGGCACAGCACCGGTAATGATAGCAACCGAGGCGGGTAAATGCAACGCCAGCGCCACACCTTGGAGAGCCCGAAAAGCTACGAGCTGCCCGCCGGTCTGCGCAAACCCGCATGCTAGCGTGAAGACGCCGAGGAAGGTGATGCCAGTGAGTTCCACGGGTCTAGCGCCGACTATGTCAGCTACTGAACCAGCGATGAGAAGTGCGGCGCCGGATGTCAGACCATAGACGGAGGAAGGCCATAGGTAGAGAGAGCGTTCGAGAGCGATGGAACGTGCAATTGATGGGAGGCCGACCGTGATGATGCCGTTGGTGAAGCTGGCTATAAAGCCGACGAAGGAAGGGGTGAAGATTGTGAGGAAGGTGCGGAGAGTCGACGGTTTTGCGAGGGATGGTGAGGTGGATGATTCGGTATCTGATATCCGGTGATCATAATTCAAGACTTCTTGAGATGGCGGTGATGGATGATAGATAGGTTTTATGGTTGTGGTCTTGGGTGTTGGCTGGAGCTCGAAGACCGAAGTCGCTGTTTGCGTCTGCGTCGCCATCTTCCAACCTTTTCAACGGGATATGAACGTACAATTGTCCCGGTTTTAGAGAGGAAATAAACTCTTGAGAAGACTTCAATGCTCATAATTTTCTAGCAGGTTCGTTGAAAATTGTGGTAGACAGAATTCTTTGGTGACTAGCTTCACGCCCTACGACGGGCGGGCGACATGTCAAAAGTCAGGGTCCACCATTTGGGTCGAGAATTTTCATCATCGGGAGAAGCATGGATGAAGATAGTATATGCATTGTCAGCTGTCAGTGATGCAGTCGCATCCATCGAGGTTGAACGCATGGTGTTCATGGGTTGCCAAGGCTGTCCTGTATGCTTCGGATGCAGGTACAAGGGAAGGGATGAAGACGCTAATGTTTTTGCTGAGCTTACGACGGTTACTACGGTGCTACGGTATGCGCAAGAGATGAGACTAGTCCGGGGATGTGGACTTCCCGCAAAGGCGTGATGCAGGGCGCTGCAAGCCCTTTATGGGGCTCTTCGCGAAGGCGATCGTTGGCGCGCGTGGCCTCACCGCCGACTCCATTCCTACGCATCGCGTCAAAAAGCGGTAAAGAAAAAGAGGACAATTGTTGAGATGGTGTGCTGTACCGTCTGGACTGGACAGACTTCCAATCAATCGCGGGACGCCGCGTGGCGGTCAAGTTGATTGAAGTTGGCGGCCGTGCTGTTGCTGCATCAACGACTTTGTTTGGGTGACGTCGGCTCGCGTCCCCAACCTCGTCCTAACCTCCTGCATTTGCCCACCAGCCACCCGCACCCAACACGCTCCAAACCAAAAGTTAACGGGAGCCACGCTTCCACGCTCCAAACCCCACACTACACATTGCTACCAACACTACAGAATACTCTCTGACTACTTTCTGCCAGTTGCATTCGCTGTTCGACCCGCTATACTCGACCTGCACCTGCGAAAACACCAACACCACCTTCTCGCCTACCATGGCGCCCCATCCCGACATTGCCGCCGACGAGCGGGCACTCTCGCCCATGGCCGTGAATGCTCTGCAGCTGGCCAAGTCAATGGTCAAGCGTGACCAACCTGAGCCATACAAGAACCTCGCCTCAGCAGGCGCACGCCCACCCAACGACCTCTCCGGACCCGGCTTCCAGGCTCTGTTTGCTCTCATCGGTGTCGGTCTCGCCCTTGGAGCCATCTGGTTCTTCTTCTGGGCCAAGAACGGTGGCTTCAAGTGGCGCGACAACGACTGGGAGGACTACAAGTCAACGGTGCTGAGACGCAAGGGACCCGACGGAAAGACTCTCTCCAACGCAACCAAGAGCACCAAGCTCGGTGGTGGCAGTGTCGTCCACGGTGGTAGCTACTTCGGCGAACAGAGCGAGCTTAACTACACGGATGAGTCTGGTACCAGTGTCGACCCAAACGAATACCGCGACGCCGAGAGGGGCGAGGGCGGCCTTCGTGGCGGAGACGGACGAAGGCACAAGAAGCACCGCCGCGACCACACCAACGACTACAAAGACCCTGAGCTCCGCAAGTACCGCGAGGAGAAGGCTGCCCGTGTCGGTGGCCTCAACCGCGTTGGTGATGGCATGTACACAGACTACTCCGGCTCTCAACCCTCTGAAGTCGGCGGCTCCCAGGTCTCTAGTAACGCACCGCTGGTCAAGAAGGACGCCAAGGAAGTCAAGGACCCCAAGAAGGAAGCCAAAGCCAAGGAGATGCGCGCAAGGGAACGCATGCGCAAGGCCAAAGCCGCCGAAAAGGAAGCCGCCAAGAAGGAAGCCGCTGAAGCCAAAGCCCGCAAGGAAGAACAAAAGGCAGAGGCCAAGCGCGCAAAGGAAGAGCAGAAGAAGTCCAAGAAGCACGGCACACCCTCTGAGGCTCCCGAAATGGCTGAAGTTACCCGCCCCATGATCGAGTACCGTTCCCCCGAGAGTGACTACACCCGCGCCTACACCGAGTACACCGCCCCATCTGAAGCCGGCACACCCACACGCGCTCCCACAAGGAGCAAGGCCCCGTCTGGACCTCGCCGTGCTCCTCCTTCCGCTGCATACTCTTTCACCACCGGTGACGACGACACTGCTACCGTCTACACCGGCGTCTCTACCTCTGACTTCGCCAAACCGCCCCCTCCAAAGGCCGCCCCCAAGACCGAGCGCAGCGCCCCCTCCGAAGTCACCGAGTCAAGCTACTACTCCGACTACCGTCCCAACGCCGACAAGTCCCTCTACTCCGACCCCAACAAGCACGCGCCCCGCTCCCGCTCAGCCCGCCCGTCTCAAGACCGCCCTTCCCAAGACCGCACCTCGCGCTCCGGCCGCCCAACCTCTGAGTCTCGTCCCCGCCCCTCAGGCTCGCGTTCGCGTCCCACCTCTGAGTCGCCTCGCAAGCAACACCGCACTTCGCGTCCTGCTCCCCCTGCATCTGACATCTTCACCACTACCAACGGTGATTCTCAGGGCCACATGAGCTACCCGTGCCACATTCCCGGCCTTAGCCAGGCGGGTAGTGTGCACCCGATGGAGAGCGTGTCTCAAGTCGGTGTCCCGACTAACGCGAGGAGGGAGAGGGGCGGTAGAGATGTCATGGATGGCTACCGTCGTGGTGGTGTCCGCGCTGTTGGACGAAGGGACAGTTTGAGCGACAGCGACTAGACTCGCTCGTTCGCTTCTTTCTCTTCAGTAGTATGATTCGGCATTGCATACCCCCTTCTTGGCGTTGTTTGGGCTTTTTCTTGATAGAGCGACTTGACTTTTCTTTGAACCTCGGGGTTTCAACTTTGTACAGCGAGTGCGATGAGAGATTGATGTTATGGATTGGATGTACAGACTTTGGAAAGGGTATACCAGTGATGGATGGAACGATGATGGAGGTCTCCGCACGAATGAAGGTTAATGACCTTGTATGTAGTAACACTCAAAGCAATACATGATGACACGGAAGTCACGATAATCAAAGACATTCTCTCCCCACACTTTCACCTCAAACCTATGTGACGCGCATCGACCACCAACCTCACTCTCAATCACACTCAACACAGCACAGCACATAGAGCAACACATCTCAATCGAATGAAAAGGGTATATCACATTACTCTGTCCACTTCTTCCGTCGCAGAAAAACGAACTAGTAACTAGACTACAACGCTAGAACTTGCTTGCTGGCATAAGAACAAAAGCGGAATCCAGTCGGCTAATCCTGTTGGCTAATCCTGAGAAAACGCAAGAGCAGATATAGAGAGACAAGAGACTGAGACTGGTTCATAGCTACATACATAGGCATTACCTCGTTGGTTTTCCTGGTTTCCTTCCCTTTCCTTTCCTTCCTTTCCGTGTTCCGTGGTTCGTGGGCCAGATCAACTGGCCTTGGTTGTGGGTTGTGGGTGATGGGTGTTGTGTTTGAGATGATAGTGATGGGGTTGTGTAGGGGTGGTTGGTCGTTACGATTGTGGTGGTGGGGGTGTTGTGATGACATATTGGTGTCGTGTCGTAGCGAGGGTGCTATGTTGTGATGTGTTGAGGGTATGATGATGATTTGGAGATATTGGAAGCAAGCTTCCTCAACTCATGCATAGTCTACAACTCATCTCTCACAGCCTGGGTGGCTTGAGTAGCGGCGCTGGAAATACTGCTGACAGCTTCCTCGGCGCTACCAGATGCAGCTGCGTACATGGACGCAATACGGCTGTTGGCGGCGGCTACGGCGTCGGCGATGCGGCTGTTTGCAGACTCCATGGCTCCTTGCTCAGGTCCGTAGACGGCGGAACTGGCTGCTGAAGAAATGTAGGCTGCGTTCTCATTAGCAGCAGAGGCAACGTACTCGGCGTTGACACTGGCTACAGAGGACATTGAGCTGTATACACCACCAGCATTGCTTGTAGCTGAGGCGACGTAGTCGCCTGCGGTAGGCGTACCGAAGATGGCCTCGCTGATAGCAGCTTGGGCGGATGCCGCGGCTGACGAAAAGCTATCTTGAGCTGATTGTGTTCCGTAGAGCTTCTCGCTCACTTGAGACTGGATGGATGAGTAAGCGCTCGCAACTGACTCGCTGGCCTGCTCAGCGGCACCCTTGGGCGTTCCGTAGAGGGCGACGGAGGCACTCTCAACAGCGAGATCCAAAGATGCGCTAGCCTGGCTCAAAACATCTTCGATCATGGCCGGGGGAGTGAAGACGGCGCTGACGACTGACGAAGCAGAAGCGTACGCGTCAGCAGCCGCGTCAGTGACAGCATCGTAACTGTCGCCCGCGTACGAACTAGCAGCGTTGATACCCTCACTGGCATAGGACTGGGCAGAGGCCATGGCTGCGGGTAGACCAGTGGAGTAAGCGGAGGCGAAGCGGTTCATGACGCTCTCGGTGAAGTCAGGCTCCTTTCCAATGACAAGCTCTGAGATAAGAGCCTGGACCTCGGCATATTGTGCAGCAGCGGCAGCAGTAGCCTACGTGTACAAAGTCAGCATATGTCTCAAATGCAGTTTATTCATCGGACGAAGTTCTTACCTGAGCACCGTAAGCGCCAGCTTGAGAGTATACAGACTCTGCCCATGGTGTAGGCTGGCCGTAGACCTGGCTACTGGCCTGAGCAATGAGTGCTTCCCAGTTCTGGCTGGCTTGGGAGGCAACCGACTCAGTCCAGGGGGTTTCTGAACCGATGACACCAGAGCTAACCTGGGAAGCGGCAGACTCAGCGGCTGCTTGGGCGTTGGCGACAGCCGACTGTGCTGAACCAGACACGTACGACGCGGCAGACTCGGCCGATCCAGATACAGCAGACGCAGCAGAAGCGGCTGATGCGGAGGCGACCGAAGCCAAAGACTCAATGGTACCTTGCTGGGGACCGTATACAGCGCTCGATGCAGCATCAGTAAACTCGGAATAACGGGCGTGCGCAAGGCCCACAGCTTCGTAGTACTGTCGGCGAGCGCTGTCAGCGACACCGGTGGATTGAGGTGCGGCGAACTGGGCAGAAGCCTGGCTTAGGCCTTCAGCGAGGCGAGATGATGCGATGGAGGAGACCGACTCGAAGTAACCCTGGGTGGGGCCTGCTGCATAGCTCCTCACTGATTCAGTGTATTGCATAGCATTCGACAACCTCTCACTAGCGACTGCGAGGGAGTCGGAGTAGGCCTTCTCAAAGTAAGAAAGCATGGTTTGGTGCGCAGGCTGGGGCTCTCCAGAGATCAGAAGAGACATCTGGGCCTTCGCATTCTCGAACTGCTTGCTCGCAGCGCTGACAGCATCGTTGTATCGCGAGTTTGCCTCGACTTGTACGGTCTTGATTATGGCTGTCGGCGTTGGCGTACCGTAGATTGCGTATGATGCCGCAGTCACAGCTTGAGCATACTTGTCGGCGATGACGCTGGTCGCACTCTCAACAGCCGGTTGCTCGGTACCGTACAGGACGCTTGACGCAGCAGCAAGAGCACTTGCGTACTGTTCGCTTGCGATCGACGAGGCAGACTCGACGGTACCTTGCGTCTTGGCAGGACCGAGGAGCGCTTCGCTGACTGCTCGGCTCATCTCAGCTGCTCGGTCGCCAGCGTCGGCAACCACGCTCTGCACTTTGCTGGAATAGGTGTCGACGACTTCGTCATCGTCTTCCAGAGGCTCATCAAGTACAGGTTCGCGCGCTTCAGCGATGATTTGCGCATTGGCTCCACCCCAGACCTTCTTAGGCGATTCGTAGGCTGCGGAGGCCTTCGATGCGGTGTCATCAATAACTTCAGACGCCTTGGAGGAAGCTTGAGATAGCAGACTCTCAGATGAAGGTTCACCATAGATAGCCTCAGATGCTTGGGACGAAACCTCAGATGCAGCTTGTTGGACGGAGGACGCAACACTCTCAGCGAGAGGAGTTGAGCTACCTGATACGGCCTCAACAACCTGCGATGAGGCTTTGGATGCTGCCTCCTTGACAGACGATGCGACACTCTCGGTAAGAGGTGTTGAGCTACCCTGAACAGCTTCGGACGCTTGTGAAGAGATGTCGGAGTACATGTCCTTGGCAGACGATGCGATACTCTCAGCAAGCGGTGTCGAGCTGCCTTGGATCGCTTCGGCAATCTGGGACGATGCACCCTCAACGTTGTCCATAACTTGTTGGGCAGCCTTGCGGACGCGAGGCGCGAAGACCTTGTCAGAGAAATCATCGCTAGCATCGCCGGCCCAGATCTTAGACTTGGAAACATCCTTTAAGCGTACTAGCTCGGCAACCATGTCCGACGCAATGGCCATGGCCTTGTCTTCAAGCTTCTTGGATTCTTCATGGGCCACGCGAAGGCCTTCGTGCCTGTTACCAACGGCTTCGACTTCGGCCTGCCATTCGTTGAGCGTGTTCCTCAGCTTGTGGTAGTTTTGCCAGTCCTTGTACGTGACGCCATCAGTCCACGCCCATCGCATGCCTACTTCTTGGAGGCCAAGGCTGTGGATCTTCTCAAGTACTTCGACAGTGCTCCTGACAGCAGCTTGTACCAGGGAATCAGTCTCTTGATCGTATGATGCTTTCCAGACACGGATGTCCTGGGCACGCTCCTTGACGGTGAGACCGAATTCGCGGGTCTTGGCTCCGCAGTCCTCGTAGGCAGCCTCAAGATCGGCGTCTGAAGCATCCTCTGGAAGAGATTGAATAGTCTTCTTGATGTAGTTCTTCAGCTTAGCAATCGTCGCGTCGGCAGTCTCCTCTAGCTTGACAACCAGAGCCTGACCATGTCCATTGACGGCATTGTCGACCTGTCGCTTTGTGATTTCTGCGACGCGTACTTCGAGGTCTTCAGAACCCTTGTCTGCGGCTGTAGCGAACTTGGTCTGCCAGTCGCGGAGATCCTGGTTGAGCTTCTCTTGCAGTTCAGCGCCTGTGAGCTTAGGCTCAGAGGGCTTGACTTTTGTTGGTTTTGCCTCCAGCTCGTTGGAGGCTGTGCTGGCGGACTCACTGCCGAAGAACTCGTCAAGGACACCCCAGCCAGACCCTTCAGTAGAGCTGGGAGGGACAATGGAGGCGGAGGAGCTTGCAATGGTGGGAGTGTCCTTGGTAGACTGAGATGGGAGGCTTGTCTCAGCATCGACGGCAGAGACAACAGACTCGATCTTCTGTTGGTCCCTGTAGCGGCCTAGACGCTCAGAGATACGGACCAACTGGGGCTCGACGTTGTCGCCGTATAGCACGCGCAGCTGGGGCCACACAGTGCGGAGGAGGAAGGCCCAGGTGGCATCCTTTGCGGTGTGGACATGGGGATAGACGATGTCGACGAGGACGTGGTGGCCGTATGCGTGACCCTGTTGGAGGTAGGGCTTGGAGCGCTCGTAGGCCGGGAGCAGTGTCAGGTGGTAGATCTCTTCGGAGCTAGTCCTGAGGTCGTTGTAGTACGGTGCAGCAGCATCAGTCGCCTTCTTGACATGCGGGCCGAGGTATACGTCGTACTGGCCCTTGATTTGCTTTTGGGCATTCTGCAGCTGGGGCTGGACAGACTTCTCGTACTGGGCCTCTGCATATTTCCTGGCATGCTCAACCCTGTGTGCGCCGTAGGTTGCGTAGTTGTCCTGGGCGAATGTGGTGATGGGCGTCGTGTAGGGCTTGACCTTTTCAATCTGCGGGGCGACGTAGGTCTCGTAGTAGGGGTCGACATAGGGCGCAGCGAAGGACCGGGTCTGCAAGTAG